CCAAGGAACCACTGGTTTTAAAATATGTTTCATGTTTCATTTTATCTCGATTATTAGTTGAATATTACCAGCATTCTGATAGGATTTAAACATTATCCTATAGGCAAATACAAATATATTCACAGTGATTTTTTTTTATCATCCTGCCTTCACCAATGGAGAAGGGATGATAGGAAAATGAATGAACTTAGAATTCTTTCAAACTAATTTTAGACACTCTGTAAAGGGTCTTCCAAAGCTTGCTAGTACCACAGTGAAGATGAACAAAGAGCATGTCTGTCAACGAGTAGTTTTATGGCTATACTGAGGCCTAAATGTCATTTCCAGTGTAAGCAAGCGTACAGACCAGGTGCCACTGGCTCGCTGCAGTCTCATCCTAGCAGACACTGAACGTTTCCTGAAGAGAGCTCCCTCTTGCCTGCTTTGCAGACATGCAGTATGATCTACCACTGAGCAACAAGAGACCATGCTGCTGTCTGTGTGAGTTGGGTTGGCGTAGCAGGTGGTCACAGGAAGCTATGGAGCATGCTGGGATGCCGGCCCCCATGGGAGCTACTTCCCCTGCAGGTGTTGCCAGCTTTCTTCCAGATCATACCTGCAAGCTCTGTGACAGCTGGAAATGAAACGGAAACAGCTTCCATCCAGCTGCCAACTCCCTCTGTGAATGTGTCGCCATGCATGGTAAATAGAATACATTTGAAAGAGAGGAAAAATAATTTCCTAAGACATCAACTCTTCCAGAGGATCATTACCAAAAATAACTTATGTCCAGAAGCAAGTGATGTCATTGTTTTGTTTTGTTCTGATTCGCCACACTGGCTAGAGCCTGTGATTGGATGTGTGAAAGTGAAGCGTTTCTCTGTAGCATTCCTTATGCTGAAATCTAGGAAAAATGAGTCAGGCAGTCTGGGAAATCATAGCGAATTCCTTTATGAAATGTAAACAGCACACATTAACATTTCAAATGCCCAGAAGGCAGGGCAAGGTCCCTGGGTAATCCTAGAGTTCGAGGCAACTGTGCTTTCTAAAGTCTCCCATGCACACTGTGCGCTTCCCGATACCTGATCCCTCCTTCCTATATCAGCATCTTCCTCTCCCCAGGGAATAAGGGCATTTAAGAAAATTGCTCTTTAAAAAAAGGAAACAAAACCAAAAACATATTTAAAAGAAAAAGAAGGCGTCAGTCCCCCACTGGCTGCTCTGAAAAGCCATCTTAGCATTGTTCCTCGTCCGACTCCTTGACTCCTTGCTCGCCGCAGCCGCCTCCGCTGCGCGCCTCCGCCTTTGCGGACTCCGGCAGCTTAATCGCCAGAGTCCTTGAACTCTCGCTTTTTTTTAAATACCCCGCATCGGATCACCGGCGTGCCCCACCATGTCAGACGCAGCGGTAGACACCAGCTCCGAAATCACCACCAAGGACTTGAAGGAGAAGCACTTGTGGAAGAGGCGGAAAATGGAAGAGACGCCCCTGCTAACGGGAATGCGAATGAGGAAAATGGCGAGCAGGAGGCTGACAATGAGTAGATGAAGAGGAAGAAGGTGGGGAGGAAGAGGAGGAGGAGGAGGAGGAGGAGGAGGAGGAGGAGGAAGGTGATGGTGAGGAGGAGGATGGAGATGAAGATGAAGCTGAGTCTGCTACGGGCAAGCGGGCAGCTGAAGATGATGAGGATGATGACGTCGATACCAAGAAGCAGAAGACCGACGAGGATGATTAGACAGCAAAAAAGGAAAAGTTAAACTAAAAAAAAAGGCCGCCGTGACCTATTCACCCTCCACTTCCCGTCTCAGAATCTAAACGTGGTCACCTTCGAGTAGAGAGGCCGGCTCGCCCGCCCACCGCGGGCAGTGCCACCCGCAGATGACATGACGCGCTCTCCACTACCCAAACCATGAGAATTTGCAACAGGGGAGGAAAAAAGAACCCAAACTTCCAAGGCCCTGCTTCTTTTCTTGAAAGTACTTTAAAAAGGAAGTTTGTTTGTATTTTTTATTTACATTTTATATTTTTGTACATATTGTTAGGGTCAGCCATTTTTAATGATCTCGGATGACCAAACCAGCCTTCGGAGCGTTCTCTGTCCTACTTCTGACTTTACTTGTGGTGTGACCATGTTCATTATAATCTCAAAAGAGAAAAAAAACCTTGTAAAAAAAAAAAAGCGAAAACGACAACAGAAAAACAATCGTATTACGAGCATTCCAGTACCTTTGTTGTGTATGTACTTAGCTGTACTATAAGTAGTTGGTTTGTATGAGATGGTTAAAAGGCCAAAGATTAAAAGGTTTCCTTTTTTTCCTTTTTTGTCTATGAAGTTGCTGTTTATTTATTTTATTTTTTTGGCCTGTTTGATGTATGTATGAAACAATGTTGTCCAACAATAAACAGGAATTTTATTTTGCTGAGTTGTTCTAACAAAAAAAAAAAAAAAGAAAAAGAAAATGGTCTTGGTCAACTGAAGATTCAGAATGAAGTTGCGTAGTTTTTCAAATGAACCCACCTGCGATGTTACGTCCCTTTTGCAAGTACAGTTAGCCAATTTCTCTACTGCATTTTCAATAGAGCATTGTCCAAGACCTTCCTAAAAATCAGTTAAAAGTGTGTGATTTTGCCTGATTGTGAGTACATAAATATAGTGTCAACTCGGTTCTTGAAGAAAAAAGCTCGTATTTGCTAGCCGTGACCTTGAGAGCAGTATGGTTCAATGGAAAACTCCTACTTTGGATCAGTCCTGGGTTCTAATTCCAGCACCACCAGTTACTAGCTTCTAGGTAATTAACTTCTCTAAACTTCATTTCCTTACCTGTAAGAGGATAATAATCTCCCATAATATGGCTACAAAGACTGCATGAGATATTATATGTAAATATAATTTATGTCTCTCACTAAATGTTAGTGCTATGTGAATTTTTGCTAGAACCTTCAAGTCCAGTGATATTCACTAAGAAACCAGGGTAATAGAGTGCCAAGCGTATAAGGCAGTTAATTCAAATAAAAAATAAAATAGTGCAATGGTGTTCTCAGTACTGAGTTCTAAGGAATTAAGGTGAGCAAGCTCTCATCTTCATTGGGAAGAAACAGAATAGGGTGAACATTGTGAATCCAGTTATTGTATGTTTTTTTTATTGGGTGAAAGACAAACCAGTTAATCCTCTGAAAAAAAATCAGGAGTTGGTGGATTTGGGCACTTTGTTTTTATTCCTGGCTCATTATTTTTATTTTTATTGTTGGGTTTATTTTTATTTATTTATTTATTTGAGATGGAGTCTTGTTCTGTCACCCAGGCTGGAGTGCAGTGGCACTATCTTGGCTTGCTGCAACCTCTACCTCCCAAGTTCAAGTGATTCTCCTGCCTCAACCTCCCAAGTAGCTGGGATCACAAGCATATGCCACCACACCCAGCTAAATTTTGTATTTTTAGTAGAGATGGGGTTTCACCATGTTGGCCAGGCTGGTCTCGAACTCCTGACCTCAAGTGATCCACCTGCCTCAGCCTTCCGTAGTGCTGGGATTACAGGTGTGAGCCACTGTGTCCAGCTCCTGGCTCATTATTTTTTAAAGTAGGACATGATTGTCTAACCAGGTGATCTTCTTACTTCCAAATTTATTATTGGAGAGAAAGATAAAGCAGAATGTATAGAAGTCCCATTGCAAGCTAACTCAGCAGTACGGCACGGGGAGGAAGAAAGGAATGAAGGGAGAAGTAAAATTACAAAAATTAGCCAGGCATAGTGGCACACACCTGTGGTCCCAGCTACTCAGGAGAATTGATTGAGCCCAGGAGGTCAAGGCTGCAGCAACCCTTGATCGTGCCACTGCACTCTGGGCAACACAGACCCTGTCTCAAAAGTAAATAGGCCAGGTGTGGTGGATCACTTGAGGTCAGGAGTTCAAGACCAATCTGGCCAATGTGATGAAACCCCATCTCTACTGAAAATACAAAAATTAGCTGGGCATGGTGGCACACACCTGTAATCCTAGCTACTTGGGAGGCTGAGGCAAGTGGAGGTTGCAGTGAGCCAAGATCGTGCCACTGCACTCCAACTTAAGCAACAGAGAGAAACTGTCTTTAAAAAAAAAAGTTAATAATAATTTTTCCTTCAGTATTACAACTTGATAGTTAAATAATATATCATTAAATTAGAAGTACTGGTCTCTACTAGGAAACCAGTTTGCATCCCAGCCCTGTGACCCACTTACTAGTTGTGTGAACTTGGGTAGGAACCTGATCCTGAGCCTAACCAGAAAAAATTGAGCTATTTATACCTGCCATCTAGTGTTGTTGTGAGAAAGAGAAAGAGCATGTGTAAATGCCTTATATATACTCCTTGTTTATTCTTCAAAGAAAAACCATTCTGGTTTCTGCTTTTCATGGAATGATGTCCAGAGACCCTGTGACTCTTCTAGCCTGAGATCTCCTTTCCTTCTCCAAGAGGCGTGGTGGTAGTTCCGGTGCAGGATGTCTTCCCTTTCTCTGTCAGTGGTTTCGTATTAGCTGCATACTCTGCTTTATTAAATGGGTCACTTTATTTACTGCTTAACTATCAAACATAGGCCTTTGTTTATTAGAGAAATAAACAGTTCTCCTCCAAGTCCATCTTAAAAAAAGATAAGGCGGCCGGGCGTGGTGGCTCAAGCCTGTAATCCCAGTCCTTTGGGAGACCAACGCAGGTGGATCACGAGGTCAAGAGATTGAGACCATCCTGGCCAACGCAGTGAAACCATGTCTCTACTAAAATACAAAAATTAGCTGGGCATGGTGGCATGCACCTGTAGTCCCAGCTCCTCGGGAAGCTGAGGCAGGAGAATTGCTTAAAGCTGGGAGGCAGAGGTTGCAGTGAGCCGAGATCGTACCACTGCACTCCAGCCTAGCGCCTGGCGAAGAAACAAGACTCTGTCTCAAAAACAAACAAACAAAAAAAAAAAGGCTGTATTTTCACATCTGTTTCCTGAAGTTTCTGATGCGTATACCTTCATTATGTGCTCTCTTTCTTTTCTGCAGATAGAAGTTCCTCAGGGAAGAACAGAAAAGAGGAAAATTATATTTTTGAGTCAAAGGCCAATGGAAGAGGAGGGGAACACCCAGCTCCAGAAACAGGTAAATGTCCACCTTGGAAACCCTTTGCAGAGTGTAGTCTTCTCAGAACTGCAAGTCCTCTGGCTGAGTATATTCCATGAAGCCATGAGAGTTTGTGACAGGAGCAGTCCATCAGTGGACTGGAAGAACTGTCTCTTCGTTGCCTATATTAACGCTGCATCTTGGGGCTCATGATAGTAACCTGCCATCTTTGGACCTCAGTTGCTTTTTCTACACACCCTTCCAGGTGTGACACCTGTGGAAAATGTCACACTTGTGGCATAGTAGGAGAACACAAGCTTTAGAGTCAGATGCCACAATTCAAATCCTTGCTCAAGGCTGGGCACAGTGGCGCACACCTGTAAGCCCAGTACTTTGAGAGGCCAAGGCAGAAGGATTGTTTGAGCTCAGGAGTTCAAGACCGGCCTGGGCAACATGGCAAAATCCCATCTCTACAAAAAATCACAAAAATTAGCCAGTTGTGGTGACACTTGCCTGTAGTCCCAGTATTCAGGAAGCTGAGGTGGGGGGATCACTTGAGCCTGGGAGGTCGAGGCTGCAGTGAGATGACATTGTGCCACTGTATGCCAGCCTGGGTGACAGAGTAAGATCCTGTCTCAAAAAAAAAAAAAAAAAAAAAATTCTCACTTAACCACTAAACTCTCTGACCTTGAGCAGGCTACCGTATCTCTCTGGATCTCAGTTTCCTCATTAGTAAGATGAGGATAGTAACAATACCTGCCTCATAGGGTTGCTGAGAAGACTATATGGGATAATTAATCTAAAGCATTTAATGCATTGCATGGCTCATATGAGCCAAATACAGAAATGATGACAGTTATTACTGAGTTACTTATGGTCAAAGAAGAATAAAGGTCTTCGAGAACCTAGTTCTCTTTCCAAGTGCTCTAGTGACGACAAAGACGATAGGAACGAGAGAGGGGTGTAGAAAGTAGAATATTTACTCAATGGAAGAAGAATACAATGATTTCATTAATTTTGGTTGATTTTAACTAGAAAGACATTGGACACAGTCCTGTAGAAAGGCAGGTTTTAGTCTTAAATCCCACAAACTAACTAGTAAAAGAAGCTTTAGGATAAGCTTAAGTTATAAACATTGAGAAAACTTTATTTTTACCCTGTTATTTGTAATATCAGGACAATATTAAAATATAAGAATAATCCAGATGTCAAGTACCTCACCCCTCGGTCTGCTGACCTCCTGGACTTATCCTGTCCTGAGATACTTAAATAAAAGGAGTCCTGTGCCCTATCAAGGGAAGAGGGAGGCCAGCCCACCTCTCGCCTCCCCACCCATATGTACCCAGAGAGTCTCAGCTGTAATTGGCTGCTGCCCATTCTGGTTGTTACATATTTTATTTTATTTTATTTTTAATTTTGTTTTATTTTGTTTTTGAGACAGATCCTCGCTCTTTTGTCCAGGCTGGAGTACAGTGATGCCATCTCAGCTCACTGCAGCCTCTGCCTCCCGGGTTCAAACAATTCCCCTGCCTCAGCCTCCCAAGTAGCTGGGATTATAGGTGCACGCCACCACATTCACGCCCGCTCCGCGCTGGCACCTCACAGCTCCGCTCTTTTTGTATTTTTAGTACAGATGGGGCTCCCTGTGTTGACCAGACTGGTCTTGAACTCCTGACCTCAGGTGATCTGCCCGCTTCAGCCTCCCATAGGGCTGGCATTATAGGTGTGAGCCACCACGCCCAGCCTGTTACATATTTTAAATGTCACTTCCATTCATATGGACAGAATACATACATAATTCATCACCCTAGCTGTTCCTGAAAATATCATCATGGTGTGTTTTAGAAGGAGCTAGATAGTTGTAAATCTCAAATTATCCGAACTAAGCCAACTAAATATTAAAAATCAAGAACAATTTTCAATATTCTAGCAAGTACTTTTGGGAGATTTCATTTTCCTTGTCATAAAAGCATTAAACAGGAATCAGATCAGACAGTTCCACAGCCTTATGTCTGACTTAGCATATAGAACATTTTCCCAGATCATATCTGTTTCATTCTTACCATAGCTAAACCTGAGCCCCGGCATTGGAATTGGCATCTTCGGCCATGGCTTCCTAACCCTTTAGCCTAAATGCTGGTGTTCATCTTTAAGCAAGTCCCCTGGTCTGGGGCTGGGTGTTGCAGTCGAATTTGTGAGAAATGATTTCTTCCTGGGGTTTCCGTGGGTCTTCACCAAAGTCTCTTTTTTGTGTCCTGTTCCTTTGTAACATATTTGACTCGTGGCTAGTACAGGAAGACGGAGGTAGAATGACACCTTGGGGCCACTCACTCATCCTTGTCAGAACTTCTTTCATCAGGTGGAGACTAGGAGGCAGCAGTAGCTACTGAGGCCCAAACTGCTGGCATGGAGAGACCAGGCAGCCATCTTGACACCTCCAGAGCTGCTGTGTGGAATGAGAGCTAGAGTGCAGTAGCCTGATCATGGCTCATTGCAGCCTTAACTTTCTGGGTTCCCCTACTTCAGCCTCCCATGTAGCTGGGACTACAGGTGCATACCACAACCAGCTAATTTTTTTTATAAAGATGAGGTCTCACCATGTTGCCTAGGCTGGTCTCGAACTCCTGGGATCAAGCAATTTGCCCACCTTTGCCTCCCAAAGTGCTGGTATCACAGTCCTGAGCCACCATGCCTGGCCCTCACTTTATTCTTGACAGCTTAGCTCCCTCATTTGTAAAATGGGAATAATAGAAGTATCAACTCATGTGGTTGTGAGAAGTCGATGATTTAAGCTATAAAGTTGGTACTCTTGGCATTAGCTTATCTTTGGGGGGGTATTTATTTACAAATAAATGGATTATCAGCACTTAGCTCAGTGTCTGGCACATGGAAGAAGGCTCTTAATGCAGACTGAATGAATAAATGAGAGGAAATGTTATAGAATTAAGTCTACACAAGGGCGATGTTTCTCCTCTAGTTCCACCAGTTGGCAAGATCCCTACAGCTAAAAATAGTTCCACCATATCATCTCCAGACCTGGCCTGGCTGCAGAGTAGATCAGAGTAAAAATAGAGCCTGCTAAGCTTGATTAAAAAGACTGATCTTGGCACACCCTGTCCCTCCCAGACTCCTGCAAGCCTTGCAACTTCTAGTCTGGTGTCTAGGATCCTCCTCACAGGAAAAACTAAAGAAATGTTTTCCTTTAATGGCCAAAATCACACCAGCATATTTGGAAGTTAGTTTTCAACAAAGGTTCTACTGACTGAGTCGGTTCACTGGATTTAGAAAAGGAAATAAATTTCTTAAGCCCTAACCAGAAAAAGAAATCGGGAGTTCATTCATAATTAATTGGAGAATGATCATTTATGAATTCATAAATACAGTCTGACTACAACAAAAAAATTCCGTGTGATCAGAATGCCTATTTCAGTTAGATATAAGAGTCATCAGATGGTAATGTGTGTACCCATTGATGCCATGTGAGTTTTGTACGAAGCAGGTACAGAATTTGGTTTTAAAGAGGTCTGGGTTTGGGACCTGGACCTACAGCTTACAACGTCCTAGGCAAATTACTTAACCTTGCTACAACTTAATCTGCAAAATGGTGGTAATACTAATACCAATTTGAGTTGTTTGGATTAAATAAAATAGTGCATGCAAAGCACTTACCATGTAGTGACCAGTAGCTGTCACTGTGACTAACCACTGGCTTGCCCTCTTCATGTCTAACCTTCGCACAGGTGCAGTGCTACCCCTGGCACTGGGTTTGGCCATCACGGCTCTGCTGCTTCTCATGGTTGCGTGCCGACTACGACTGGTGAAACAGAAACTTAAAAAAGCTCGTCCCATTACATCTGAGGAATCGGACTACCTCATAAATGGGATGTATCTATAGTAATGTAATTTAAAGAGCTTGGGGCAAGGACATGTTTTGTTTATAATCTATACTTCTATTAAGTTCTAGATATTTACAGCCTCTTTTGTTTTTAATTGGGCCAGAAAATTCTGCAAATCCCAAATCTTTGTCTTTATTATTTATTGTAAAAAAAAATTCTCTTTAGAAAGTCATAAAATATTTTGAAATTTAGAGAGGAATTCATGATTAAAGATTTCTAAAAATATAATTCTGGTTTATGTAAGCTTTCCCCAAAAACAGAAATTTGTACTTAGCTGAGACAGAAAATTCAGCATCTCAGGAGTTGGTTTTAGGATGAGTGTGTTAATCCTTTACTTTTTAGAAGCCACTGTTGGCCCCTTCCAGTGCTTTAGGCACAGCTCCCCTTGTTCTGTGCCCTTTCCTTCCTCCTTTCAGCTCCAGTCTTCTTCTTTTCCCCCTCTAAACCCATTTCTGAGAGTGGATCTCAAGCAAGTTCATGCCTTCAATCAGATGTTACTTATAGCGGATTAACCTAAATTATAAACCTTATGTACAGGTCAGTGAGCATCGGGGAAGATGAGTGTGAATCCTTCCCAATGCCTCTGATGTCATGTCATATAGGTGGCTGCCTCCTTAGACTGACCTTTGGGAGAAAAAAAACCCAGACTTTGAATTAGAAACAGCTCTAAGATGGTGATGCAGTGAGATAGGAAATCAAGATGGAAGCAGAGAATCTGGTGTGCCAAAAACAAACAGAAACTTAGTTGAGGGCAAAGAGAGCAAGGAGAACGTTCAATACTTCATACATCAAGTCGACATGGCTCCATGGTTGAGAGCACAGCAGCTCATTTACATATATAGCCTTTGTTGATGAAAGAGAAAAATGCAAATTGAAAAGAGGAAATTGAGTGGATTTCTGGATACAGCTTTTGTAAAAATGTCATCATGTCTTTCATCCAATGGAATGAGCCAATTTTTTTTTTTTTTTTTTTTTTTTTTTTTTTTTTTTTTTTTTTTTGAGACGGAGTCTTTTAGCCAGGCCAGAGTGCAGTAGTGTGATCTTGGCTCACCGCAACCTCCACCTTCCAGGTTCAAGCGATTCTCTTGCCTTAGCTCCTGAGCAGTTTAATTTGTAGGCTTTTAAAGGCAAATTATTCCCACCATCACTTAAGGCCAGGATTATACACATTCTAGAAATGATTCTGAGAGGAATGTATAGCATGGTGCCTATCTACAGTCACATGATGTTCCTGTTTACATGATTTTTACCATAAGTGGCAAATATTTTAAAATATTTGAAAAACACCCCAGAGTCTAGTACAGTTTATTTTTAGAATGAACATGAAGTAGGTTGTTCTTTTAGCAAAGGGCTTAATTTGGGTGGGGACTATAACATATCAAAATACATGAACAAATGGAAAATTAGTTCTAGAAACACAAACAAATTGGATATCATTTTTGTTTCTTGGGAAGCTAATTTTGCTGTATGTTTAGAATTAAGCAAAGATTTAAATTTTTAAAGGGCAGTTTAGAAAAATGAACTTTGTGAATGAACTTAAGATGTCTGTACTCTATGTGATGCTGTACAGTTTGTTTTTATATGGAAAGATGTCACCTATAGCCATAACCAATAAAATAAAAACTGATGAGGCATGCAGCTTTCAGCATATCTGTTATACATGAAGAAATTAATTTCGTGTTGCTACAATGTTGAAATAGCTGAGAAAAAAAATGTCCTGTATCTTTGTAAACATGATTCCTTTAATAAATTGTATTTTATTATTAAGCCTTTTTTACCTTTTAATATAATCATAAGTTGCTATTATTGACTGAGCTGTTACTGCATTATTTGGATTCAATCGTATCAACCATTTTACAATGAGGGAAATAAAGTATTAGAGAAAGTGACTCACCCAGGGCCACATAAAGCATTCTGGAGGGAAGGAGAATCAAGGTCTATGAAATATTTATATTACCAGGTAGACTGAATATGACCTTTAAAAGTGATCTTACAGCCAGGTGCTGTGGCTCACACCTATAATCCCAGAACTTTGGGAGGCCAAGGCATGTGGATCACGAGGTCAGGGATTGAGATCATCCTGGCTAACATGGTGAAACCCCATCTCTACTAAAAAAAAGTACAAAAAAAATTAGCCAGGCGTGGTGGCATGCGCCTGTAAGTCCTAGCTACTCGGGAGGCTGAGACAGGAGAATCACTTGAACTTGAGGGGCAGAGGTTGCAGTGAACCAAGATGGTGCCACTGTCCTCTAGCCTGGGCAGCACAGTGAGACTCCGTCTCAAAAAAAAAAGTAATCTTACCTGTAGATTATCTGATTGAAGGAGTTCTGCATTTAAGACAATTGAAAAATAATTTTAAAGGGAAAGGTGTCACAGTTTCTCTCTTTTTTTTTTGAGACGGAGTTTCGCTCTTGTTACCCAGGCTGGAGTGCAATGGCGCGATCTCGGCTCACCGCAACCTCCGCCTCCTGGGTTCAGGCAATTCTCCTGCCTCAGCTTCCTGAGTAGCTGGGATTACAGGCACGTGCCACCATGCCCAGCTAATTTTTTGTATTTTTAGTAGAGACGGGGTTTCACCATGTTGACCAGGATGGTCTCGATCTCTCGACCTCGTGATCCACCCGCCTCGGCCTCCCAAAGTGCTGGGATTACAGGCTTGAGCCACCGCGCCCGGCCCACAGTTTCTCTCTTAAATGTGTTTGTGTATTTTACATCTCTTTTCTTAAGGCTCACGTAACCTCCTCCTGAACACTTAAAACTTACTTTTTCCTGGTCAGGCGCAGTGGCTCACGCCTGTAATCCTAACACTTTGGGAGTCCAAGGTGGGTGGATCACCTGAGGTAAGGAGTTTGAGACCAGCCTGGTCAACATGGCGAAACTCCCTCTCTACTAAAAATACAAAAAAAGTTAGTCAGGCGTGGTGGCACACGCCTGTAATCCCAGCTACTTGGGAGGCTGAGGAAGGAGAATCACTTGAACCCAGTAGGTGGAGGTTGCAGTGAGCTGAGATTGCACCACTGCACTCCAGCCTGTGTGACTGGGAGTGAGGCTCCTTCTCAAAAAAAAAAAAAAAAAAAAAAACTTTTTCCTTTCATTCTTAGTAGACTAATTACTCCTCCAGCCTTCCATAAGCATTTTACTGTTTCAAATCAGCTGAGTACCCAATACATTCTCTTTCATAGGAGAGTACCAGGATTTTTTTCATCTGGCTCCCAGTGACTTCAAAACCTGTGATCTGGCCCCACAACTCAGTCCCACTCAGCAACACCTCCTTTCAGTCACTGATGGCTTTTCACATTGCTCTTTACTAGATTTTCCTTTGACCCACACATAGAGTTTGTTGTTGTTGTTGTTGTTGTTGTTGTTGTTTTTTGAGACTGAGTCTCACTCTGTTGCCCCGGCTGGAGTGCAGTGGTGTGATCTCACCTCACTGCAACCTCCACCTCCAGGGTTCAAGCAATTCTCATGCCTTAGCCTCCGAGGTAGCTAGGACTACAAGGTGTGCGCCACCATGCCAGCTAAGTGTTGTATATTTTTAGTAGAGACAGGGTTTTGTCATGTTGGCCAGGATGGTCTCCAACTCCTGATCTCAGGTGATCCACCTACCTTGGCCTCCCAAAGTGCTGGGATTACAGGCATAAGCTACCACGCCTGGCTAAGATGCATGTTTCTATTTGTCTTTCCATTTTGCTGTTCAAGGCACACTCTGTTGATTACTTCACCCGTGTAAACCGAGTTGCGCTGTGTCCCAGGACACAAGCCGCCATCCTTACCTGCAGACATTTCCCAACTTCATGTTGATGATGCCTCTTAACACAGCATCTGAGCCTGAGATTCTGTAATTTGAGCTCCTTGTTGAGTTCAATTATATTGTCCCAAAACAATTTGTTTTTTTGTTTTTTCTCAAAGTGGATGATGCCACTTTGTTCCTAGCAGAATTACTTCAGTTTTTTGTTTTCTGGACCCCAGGTTTTCTACTGGTTTTCGGATTAAAATTGAATGAGAATTTCTAACAAAGAAGTTGCCCAAGCAGAATACAAAGAGGGAAAAGCTTAGTTTGCAGTTTGCCACTCACAAATTTCTCATCTCATTGGTTTTTTAAGCATCTGTGTTGCAGAATTCTCGATTCTGTCCCCATTTTCCGACCTACTGGATTCTAGTATTCTAAAAATAAAATGAATATTTTAAGTTATAGCTACTTTAGCAGATAAACACAGATTCTCCAGCTAAATAGGAAAGCACCAAGGACAAAAATAAGGTTAGACATCCCAAAGCTGAATGTTTTTGAGAATTAATCGGTTAGAACTGAGCCTTCTCCTGTATTTCTGTATTTAGGTCTAAGCATATCTTTCTTTTAACTTATTTTAATTCTCAAATTACCTAAGTTTTAAAAATCATGTTATGTCATCACCCTGCAAATTGGAAAGAGATCAACTTATTCAGCTTAAATTTTTTTATATGGTTATTTCAAAATTTAGGAAACGTCTCAAAATATTTTAATGCAAAAATCATTTTAACTTTTACAGAAATAGCTTAGGGAAATTGGGCCGGGTGCAGTGGCTCACGCCTATAATCCCAACACTTTGAGAGGCTGAGGCAGGTGGCTTACCTGAAGTCAGGAGTTTGAGACCAGCGTGGCCAACATGGTGAAATCCTGTCTCTAGTAAAAATACAAAAATTAGCCAGCCGTGGTGGTGTACCTGTAAAGCCCAGCTATTCGAGAGGCTGAGGTGGGAGAATCGCGTGAACCCAGGAGGTGGAGGTTGCAGTGAGCTGAGATTTGTGCCACTGCACTCCCCCATGGGCTACAGAGCAAGATTCCAACTAAAAAAAAAAAAAAAAAACTCAGGAAAATTGTGTTCAGTGTACGGACTTTTTTTTAAAAAGGTGCTCCTCATTCATTTTCATACAGTCATTTCATATGTCCAAAGACTCAAAAATCCAAATAAATCAAAAGGTAACATTCTTAAAACAAAACAGTTCTACAAATGTAGCTAGAGATCTTGATAAATCTCTAAATATATTATCTACAGATTTGTGTATAGAATAAAGAAATCAGAACCATGAACTGCAATCTGTGAGACTTCAGCATTTTTTTTTTTTCTGCCAGGGAGGTGGAAAGACAAGGAAAAACTGAGGTGGGTAAGGGGAGGGACAGACAGAAACACACCTCAGAGGTTCTGGGGGCCCCTCACACAGCACAGCGCTATGTGGGAACCGGAAGTCAGATTTTACTCCCATTTTCTCTCCCACCAAGCAAAGGGCCATTTCACGGAAAATCCTGGTTGAAACAATACAAAGTCAGTTAAAAAGATGAAGCTGGAAGTGGGGAACCAACAACCATTATTGTAGCAATGATATTAGAAGGATTAAGGATAAGGAAATTATTGGACCTTTTTTTTTTTTTTTTTTTTTTTTTGAGACGGAGTTTCACTCTTGTTACCCAGGCTGGAGTGCAATGGCACGATCTCGGCTCACCGCAACCTCTGCCTCCTGGATTCAGGCAATTCTCCTGCCTCAGCCTCCTGAGTAGCTGGGATTACAGGCACAAGCCACCATGCCCAGCTAATTTTTGTATTTTTAGTAGAGACGGGGTTTCACCATGTTGACCAGGATGGTCTCGATCTCTTGACCTCGTGATCCACCCACCTCGGCCTCCCGAAGTGCTGGGATTACAGGCTTGAGCCACCGCGCCTGGCTCCTTTTTTTTTTTTTTTTTTTTTTTTTTGAGATGGAGTCTGACTCTGTTGCCCGGGCTGGAGTGCAGTGGCATGATCTCAGTTCACTGCAATCTCTGCCTCCTGGGTCCAAACAATTCTCCTGTCTCAACCTCCCAAGTAGCTGGGATTACAGGTGCATGCCACCACGCCTGGCTAATTTTGTATTTTTAGTAGAGATGGGGTTTTGCCATGTTGGTGAGGCTGGTCTTGAACTCCTGACCTCAGGTGATCTGCCCACCTTGGCCTTCCCAAGTGCTGGGATTAAAGGCGTGAGCCACTGTGCCGGGCCTGATTTCCTTTTTATCATATTATAATGCATACACATTTCTTGGCCCCTTGGGTCAGCCGGTTATCTCAAGTGGGATTCTTTTCACCAGCATTCTATTTGAGCTACATGCTAGGTTCAGCGAGGACAAAACACCATCATTTTTCTGAAAAAATGGTAAGAGGAATCCAGAGATCCAACTGAAATCCAGTCAGAACCCATTTGTCTTGTTGTTCAGTTCTTTAAGAACACAGTAAGTTGTAGGAAATGATTTATACCTACAAGAATTTTAGCACTTACCTAAAATATTAGCCTCTGAACCCTATTTAAAACATTAAAAATAATCCATTTATTTCACTTACATTAGTGTTCGGTTGCCATACTTGTATAAGTTATTTTAATAACATATCAAACTACTTGAAAATTTGTAACATTTAGGTGAAAACCAAAAATACTCACCTGACTGATGAAACAAAACTGAGCAGCTTTGTTTCCTGGTTGACAATCACATACCAAGAATAGCTTCAAAGAGTTCATGAGCATTACTACTCAAAAATGTTATTGTATTTTAGATCAATTGATTTTTTAAGATGCTTTAGGTACATTATATACCAATTTTCAAAGTTCAGTGAACTTTTTTTGAACAATGGCAGTTTTTAAAATTAGGGCAGTGGAACTGAAAATACTTGCATGAGGCCGGGCTCGATGGCTCATGCCTGTAATCCCAGCACTTTGGGAGAGGCCAAGGCGGGTGAATCACCTGAGGTTGGGAGTTCGCAACCAGCCTGACCAACATGGAGAAACCTCATCTCTACTAAAAATACAAAATTAGCTGGCTGTGGTGGTACATGCCTGTAATCCCAGCTACTTGGGAGGCTGATGCAGGAGAATCGCTTGAACTTGGGAGGCAGAGGTTGCAGTGAGCTGAGATCGCACCATTGCACTCCAGCCTGGGCAACAAGAGCGAAACTCCATCTCAAACAAAAAAAAAGGAAAGGAAATACTTGCATGAACAATGTTAATGGATTATTTTCCCCCAGAATGTCATTTTCTTCTAATGTTACCTGCTGGAAGAGTTGAAACCTCCAATAAAAAGCCGATATTCCTAATTCAGGCTTAGATTATATATTTTTGTTTTAAGAGATGGGGTTCTTAGATTTCTACTGGAACGGTGAAGGAAAAAAATTTTTTTTATTTTAAAGAGAGAGACAGGATTTTACTCTGTTGTCGAGGCTGGAGTGCAATGATGCACTCAGCTCACTACAGCCTCAAACTCCTGGGCTCAAGCAATTCACCTGCATATCCCAAGTAGCTGGGACTATAGGAGCATCTCACCATGCCTGGCTAATTTTTATTTCTTACAGAGACAGGATCTCTCTCTGTTGCTCAAGCTGGTCTAGAACTCCTGGCCTCAAGCAATCCTCCTGTCTCAGACTCCCAAAGTGGTGGGATTACAGGTGTGAGCCACCATGCTTGGCCAAGATTACATAAATTTTTTTGAAAGCTTGATTTGGCCTTTAATAAAACCAAATCTGTAAGAAATAAAAAATCTCCTTTCATGAGGATCTCACTACACTGACTGAAACTTTTTGAAATGTTTTCATTGTTGCCTTTCATATTATGTAAAAGAATCACTTCTATTAAGGAAAACGACATAATGAAATGTCTTAGAAGTTATGAATACTAAAGATTAAGGAAACTTTTTTTGACTGTAATCTGCACACATATATAGATCTTACAGTAAAAAACTCTTAGGCCTAGCTAAAATCCATTATTTCCATTTCTACCTATTTATTCATGCTCCTTCAAAGCCCATTCTTATTTATTCAACATTCTAAAATTCTAATTCACAAACATGAAGAGTTCAAGAGCAGTGTTTGAACAACGCTGAAGGCATAGCACTGTCTGTACTAATCAGGTGGCAGTAAGTTCGTCTTACCATATTTCTCTAGTTGTCTCCTCAACAGACTTCAGACTCCTTGAGAGGAAGGGCCTTTCTCTATTCCCAAAAGCAAACATAAAGACTCACATATAGTCGAATGTTGGCAATAGCTATGAAAGACACAGACTAACAGATACATTTAAGAATTAATTTAAGTTGTAAAGAATATTTGACTTTTACAACTACCTCAAATGCACTAATCCTGAACCAGAGGGGTTCATGGCCTGAGTATAGAGGCAATAAACAGCAGCAAACTGAAGCCAACAATAAACTTAAACTCTTATGTTTTGGGCACCAAATAATGCTAGTTTCCTGTGGCTAAGACCTTACCAAAGAAGAGATATTTGTGAAAAGATGTATGCATAATTTTAATGCCATTTTTAAAAATTTATTTTTAATTTTTTTTTTTGAGATGGTGTTTCACGCTTATCCCCCAGGCTATAGTGCAATGGCACAATCTCAGCTTACTGCAACCAGGCCCGGCGAATTTTTGTATTTTTAGTAGAGATAGGGTTTCACCATGTTGGCCAAGCTGGTCTCGGACTCCTGACCTCAGGTGATCTACCTGTCTCAGCCTCCCAAAATGCTGGGATTACAGGTGTGAACCACCACACCCAGCCTAAAAGCCATTTGTAAGAAGTAATGTTTAAGACTTTTTTCAAGAGCTGGGGGGAGTGTCTCACATACTCACAAAGGTTCTTTGCCAGAATTACACACACACCCCTCCAGTAGAAGGGCTTTGCGGGGAGTGCTGATTCTGCTCATTCTAGAGCTTTTATTTCCTCAATTCTAGAACTCCTAGAAAAACTAAGGTTTTATTATAATAACAGGTATAAACCACAACATTTAAATAAGATACCAAAGTGCTACTGTCTTCTTAGAAATTCAGTTATAGTCATTATATTAATAAATCTATTTATAGGTGAGAGATTGGGTTTGGTATGTTCATCCTCAATCCTGTTCTTTCCTGACTTCTTTCCTGTTCTTTCCTGTCAATTCATTCACTACTCACTCATCAGCATTTATTGTACAGCTACTACAGGACAAGCCCTGTGCTAGGTAGTCAAAGAGAAATGATGATTGAAGTATGGTCCTGGCCCTGAAGCAGTGTAGTCACATTCTACAGGGTACAGTTGGATTAATGCTATTTACTTACTCAGACTTCACAAAAGGAAACATCAGAAAAATAGTTTTTCCCCCCCTGTGATTGTAAACATTCCCTATCTAGTGGACCTGCTGTTCTTTCTTCTATATTCAAAAACAACCAATGCCTCTTTTACTTTTAACTTTATTTGGCAAAGCAGCACTGCATAAACTGTTCAAGAACTAGGACACAGCTTACACAGCATGTTAAGTTCATATACATTATCAGCAGCAAATTAGAACAGAGAAAACAACACTAAACTCCAAGTCTCCTATAATTTTGAGAGAAAGAAGGGAAGAACTAAGTCAGTTATGTCCAATCTGAACAGCTGAGTGTTTACAGGACATCACCTGCCATCTTAAGGTTTAGTATTTACAAATGCCTAGTTTTAAGGTAACAAAGCGGCTGATTGTATCTACAACATGCTATTCTACGACACCACATCAAAAGCTTTAAACAGAAAGCTCATCTCTATTTTCTTAGTAGCATCTAACAGACATCCAAATACCAAGAATCTTAACTTGTGAATGGTGGTGTTATCCAATGCACAAAAGCAATCTGATAAATTAATATCAGAACAGAATTAAGTATCCAAGAAAAGAAAAACCACTCCTCAAAATCAATTCACAAAATAAGTTTTCCATTCTGCAGAACCCTTTCTTTTAATATTTCCAAGTAAAATATGGGCATGTTAAATAATACACACATTTGTACTTTGTATCCTTCCTCTACCAATATGGCTCTGTGCCTCTTTGAAAAATCAGAAACCCTAAAAAAACACACATTTTCATGCTGAAAATAACAGTGTAACAAAGTCCAAAACAAGCTGTGATGGTGTTGGTTTTCAAAAAGCTTTGAGGACTGAGATGAGCAATCCACTGTAATTTTATAGACTGGTCAAGCTGATGTTGCCTTTACAATTCATCCCTGTGAGGAAAAAAGAGAAATATGTAAGTAGGAGTTACATATTGCATAGTTTGACTTTATAATAATTTAGATACAACTACTAAGTCAGCAAAAATGCACTGATCGTCAAGCAATATATTTTTTAAATAAAAAAGCAAACAACCCAAATGAAAGCAACAAAGGGTCAGCCATTCCAAACATCGTCCATGCTACTCCAGCACGAAGTATGCGGCCTAAAAGTTGTGAGTTCTTAATTTTTTAATTCTAAAAATAGATTTCTTCCTTCCATGTCAAAATTCAGAAAAATTGTATCTTTTAGATCTATGGTCACCTTTACACTGTAGTAAAATGACAAGTTGAGTGTTTCAGAGTTCAAATGAGTTAATAGTTAACATCATAAAATTGGACAAAAATGCGGTCTTTTGCTTCAGAATGTTTATTAGCAACTGTGGAGTGGGTCAATCTCAACCCAAGCACTCTGAGAGAAAAGGCATCGTCTGTAGGTCAGCTGATTTCATAAGGCAGCTTTATCAGCTCCAAAAGAAACCATTCATACCAGCAACTGCCAGTAAGAGGAAGGAAGGAATGAAAACACAGTCTAATAAACTGTATGGTATCTAAATTATACCTCAGTAAAGCTGTTAAAAGCGGAAAAATCAATAAAACTACCAGAAAGCCTTACAAGCCTCATAGCTGAAGGTAATCTGAGTGACAAAAACAAGAAGCAAGATATTTGCAATTAAGTCTCAAGTGGTTTAAGAAAAAGGAAAAAATATTACATATATGTATATATAGAAAAAGAGGAGAGAAATGTAGAAAAATGATAATAATTGATGACTCCAGATGAAGAGATTTAGGAGTTATTTGTACTATCCTAGCAACTTGTCAGCAATAAAAAATAAAGTTCAAAGTTTTGAAAAAGCTGTTAAATTTGAAGGGAAGAAATAAAGAGCTCATATTTCACAGGTAAGTGAGGGATTACTGGACAATTTTTTTTTAAACTGAATTTTGTAAACTGTGCAAGAAAATAATCTAAAAGTTATTTCTCCAATAAGCCGCCTTTATCCTATAGTATTAGATTATCTATTAAATGACAAACTCAGTCTGCTTCCTCTTAGTATATTCTTCTAAATAACAATATTATAATTCTCATAGAACAGCTTTTACTTAAATCCTGCAGGCATTAAAATATTTGGTCTACAAAGATTTACTTGCAAACTAAAATTCACTTGTACTTTTTAGAATATGAATTGAAGATACTGGTTTTTTTTGTTTTGCGTTTTTTTTTTTTTTTTTTTTTTTTTTTTTTTTTTGAGGTGGAGTTTTGCTTTGTCGTCCAGGCTGGAATGCGGTGGTGTGATCTTGGCTCATTGCAATCTCCACCTCCCAGGTTTCAGCAATTCTCCTGCCTCAGCCTCATGAGGAGCTGGGATTACAGGCAGGCACCACCATGCCCATCTAATTTTTTTGTTGTATTATTAGTAGAGATGGGGTTTCACCATGTTGGCCAGACTAGTCTCGAACTCCTGACCTCAAGTGATCCGCCTGCCTCGGCCTCCCAAAGTACTGGGATTACAGGCATAAGATGCCTGGCCCAAAATGGTTTTTTTTCAGTGGCTGTGCTCCAGGCTATAATTCACAGAAAATAGCTACTGGTGAAGAGTAAAAACAAAATTGAGAGATTAAACCTTATTATCACCACTTTTACTTCTTAAGAAAATAATTATTTTATAATAAGATTCTAAGACTAGGAAACGGTAAAGCCTTTCTGATTTGGGAATTTAATTTCAAGTAATTTGAGCTAACAGCACTGTTATGTACTGATGTCACTCTCCCTCATGGAAGGGAGTGGGAAGGGGAGGAAAAGAGAAGAGGAAAAATCTTGGCTTCAAACGAAATATTCATATTATGCTGAGACAAAAACAAAAGTGGACATTCTTTATAGGAAGCCATGCTATGCTGAAAGTTGCTGCATGCTGCTGACGCTTTGGGTGGGTTTGTGAGACCTGGGCACTCATTGGTTAGCTTTTAGAATCCCTGCCCCTCTCTAAGTTTAGCCAGAATAGCTTAAACAGTGTGGCTGGCCTATTCTATGGAATGGGGAAAAGTGTATTCCTTATGGTGACTCTGAAACAAGGTTGAATGAAAAACAGGTATGGGCTGTCAGATATCTATGATTTGGTTGAAACAGAGAAATCAAACTGAGAGGTAGAATGTCCTCTCTGGGATTCTGACATTTTAGAAAACTAAGACATCTGTTATCTTTTCCCTTCTTTCTTTCTCCTTGGTGGTACAATAGAAAGTGAGCAGTGCAGAAAATAATGGCCCCTTCTTTTTCTTCTTCCTTTTTTTTTTTTTTTTTTTTTTGAGACAGAGCTTTGCTCTGTCACCCAGGCTGGAGTGCTTTGGCAAAATCTCCGCTCATTGAAACCTCCGCCTCCTGAGTTCAAGCAATTCTCCTGCCTCAGCCTCCCAAGTAGCTGGGATTGTAGGTGTGCACCACCACACCTGGCTAATTTTGTATTTTTAGCAGAGATGGGGTTTCACCATGTTGGCGAGGCTGGTCTCAAATTCCTGACCTCAAATGATCTACCCGCCTTGGCCACCCAAAGTGCTGGGATTACAGGTGTAAGCCAGTGTACCCGGCCTCTTTAACAGACCAAACTCTTTGTTTCCATGAGCATCCAGTGCTATAAAAATGATTTTAAAATACAAAAACAGAGTGGCTAATAATGAATAAAAAATCCTTACAAAGTACTGAATTGCAGCTGAAAATATAAAAAAAAAAAAAAAAAGCTTTTGTGCCAACCAAGTCTCACCCTCCCTTTCCCAAAGATATATATGTTAAACCAAAATAAGGGCAGACCATGCAACATTTTTCACAGTTTTAATGTAATGAGTTTTTGATGTTATAATGGAGTAGCATCAAGGCGACAACCAAAAACAGCTCTTGTAGTCTAATGTCTTAAAATCCACACCCTTTCACCTTGCATGTGTGGAAGAAGAAAGAGCAGAAGATAAAATCACTTCCACCTGGACCACTGCTTTTCTTTATCTGTTAAAGGCACGTATATCACCCCCATCAGAGGCTTCATTTTGACGCTGCCATCTTGTAGCTTGTCATACTGCTCCAACATTTGGTTTCCACCTGCAGGACCAACTGGCAATATCAATCTTCCACCAGGCTTTAACTGATCTATTAGCTAAAAGAAAAAGAAAAGGAAAGCACATACACACCAAGTTACAGATTTTATTTATTTATTTTGTGAGACAGGGTAGTCTGTTGCCCAGGCTGCAGTTCAGTGAGGCGATCTCGGCTCACTGCAACCTCTGCCTCCTGGGTTCAAGCAATTCTTCTGCTTCAGTCTCCCAAGTAGCTGGCACTACAGGAACCTGCCACCATGCCCAGCTATTTTTTTAAAATTTTAGTAGAGATGGGGTTTTACCATGTTGGCCAGGCTGGTCTCAAAATCCTGACCTCAAATAATCCACCCACCTTGGCTTCCCAAAGTGCTGGTATTACAGGCGTGAGCTACCGTCAGCCCAGATTTTATATTAACAGTCATTTGACATCACTGTAAACAACTTTTAGTGTCCATGGGCAGAAAGCAGAAACGTACTTTATTCCGTATACACAGGCTGAAGTCAGGCATGGTGTCTCATGCCTGTTATCCCAGCATTTTGGGAGGCCGAGGTGGGCAGATCACTTGAGGTCAGGAGTTTGAGACCAGCCTGGCCAACATAGTGAAACCCCGACTCTACTAAAAAAAAAAAAATACAAAAATTAGCTACGTGTGGTTCAGATGCCTGTAGTCCTATCTACTCAGGAGGCTGAAGCAGAATTGCTTTAACCCAGAGACAGAGGCTACAGTTAGCCGAGATCACGCCACTGCACTCCAGCCTGGGTGACAGAGCGAGATTCCATCTTAAAAATAAATAAATAAATAGTATATACAGATTGAGCATCACACACTGTGGATTTCAGGATTGCAGGTATAGTCTTCTAGTTAATTGAGTATGGAGTTTATGCTTCTGTTTTTCTAGTTATCCTGGGGTGATATCCAAGAAAAGGCATAAACATCTTCAGTCTGCTATCTTGAACCAGAAAGCCCCTTCAGTACATCTATCTTTGAATTTAATCAGATATATACACACTCCTATAATACTTGCAAGTGTTACTACAATATTTAAATGCAATTCAATTAAATCTAGAAATTTAATTGAATTGATCTTTCAAGATCATCTCAGGGTCTCAGTAGGGAGAAATAGGCTCTGCACCCACCCCCCTCATTTAAGCACAATTCTATTTCAGATTTTAACTGTTTACTCTAGGTTGTCGATATTATTTTTTAAGTTAAAAACCCATTGGTCATGGGTTCAAATTCATCGAGCCATTCATTTATGACTTATAAAATTTTCTACATTATGTTAATACTTCAGTTCAAATGTGTTAAAACCACCGGTTCAATCTACCTGGAATGCAGTAGTGCGAGCATGGCTCACTGCAGCCTCAGCCTCTCAGGCTCATGCAATCCAAGCTGTCCTCCCACCCCAGCCTCTTGAGTAGCTGGGACTATAAGCACCTACCACCACACCCAATTTTTCTATTTTTTTGTAGACATGGGGTTTTGCCACATTGCATGGGCTGGTCTCAAACTTCTGAGTGCAATGGATTCATCTGCCTTAGCCTCCCAAAGTGCTGGGATTACAGGTGTAAGCTATTTTAAAAAACAACAACAAAAACAGAAATCAACAGGGCCAAAGCAATTAAGAAATTTCCCCAGTCACTCAGCCAATAAGCAGCAAGTCAATGCCCAGAACAAATTATCCAACTTTCAGCTTCTCATAACTGATCCAAGCCTACAAAAAAGAACCCTTTCCAGGTTGGGGAACAGAACCCAGAAGAAACAGTGGCACCTTTGTCCTCTGGTCATCTAGTCAAGAACTAAGCAAAAGTCATATGTAACAGAAATCTAGGACCACAGACTAGAGTGCCATGGCCCAAACATGGCTCAGTGCAGCCTCAACTTCTTGGGCTCATGCGATTCTCCCACCTAAGCCTCCAGAGTAGCTGGGGCTACGGTCATGTGAGCCACCATGCCTGGCTAATTTTTTTTTAAACAGGATCTTGCCACATTATTCAGACTGGTCTCAAACTCCTAGGCTCAAGTAATCCTCCCACCCTGGACTTACAAGGTGCTGGGATTACAGGCATGAGCCACCAAGCCCAGCCATATATCCTACTATTCTTTAAGATTCAGTTCAAGGCCGGGCACGGTGGCTCAAGCCTGTAATCCCAGCACTTTGGGAGGCCGAGGCGGGTGGATCACGAGGTCGAGAGTTCGAGACCATCCTGGTCGACATGGTGAAACCCCGTCTCTACTAGAAATACAGAAAATTAGCTGGGCATGGTGGCTCGTGCTTGTAATCCCAGCTACTCAGGAGGCTGAGGCAGGAGAATTGCCTGAACCCAGGAGGCGGAGGTTGCGGTGAGCCGAGATCGCGCCATTGCACTCCAGCCTGGGTAACAAGTGAAACTCCGTCTCAAAAAAAAAAAAAAAAAAAAAGATTCAGTTCAAATTCCATCCCTGTGTGATGTCTCCTTGACCACTCACTGCACAATTCTCTCCCTCATATGCATATTTTATTTTCCTTCCATGTGTTAATTATTTGCTATCATATCACTAATTTCCCAGTTACATACATGACATCTCTTCTGGAATACAAGCTTTGTGAGAATACAATGTATGGCAAATACTTTCTCATATCTCCCATATACCAAATACAGACTTAAACATTCTGGTATTTAATAAAACATCAAACTGCCCAGGCGTGGTGGCTCATGCCTGTAATCCCAACATTTTAGGAGGCTGAGGCAAGCGGATCACCTGAGGTTAGGAGTTTGAGACCAGCCTGACCAATATGGTGAAACCCTGTCTCTACTAAAAATACAAAAATTAGTTGGGCATGGTGGTCAGCACCTGTAATCCCAGCTACTTGAGAGGCTAAGGCAGGAGAATCGCTTCAACCTGGAAGGCAGAGGTTGCAGTGAGCTGGGATCACAACACTGAGCTCCAGCCTGGGCAACAAAAAGCAAAACTCTGCCTCAAAAAAAAAAAAAAAAAAAAAAAAAAAATCAAATTGATTATCAGGTCATAAACTCCAGAGGGATTTTCCCAATTCTACTGTTGTCCTAGTTCTTACCTGGATCAAACACTGCTTCGAATACGAGCTCCACAAACTGGGGCTTAGTAATTTTCCCATCATTTATACAATTGTTTGCATATGAAAAAAGAAAAGAGTAACAGCTAACTGTAACCAAAATGTGTGATATAAAAGTCTAAATTATATTTTGAACATCATCAAGTCTTTCCTATTTAAGTCTTGTAGAGTTTTAGTTGAAGAAAATACACAAACAGAAAATATCCCAACTCACCGCCTGGGGTACAACGGGGGCTGCAGCTCCTACATGAATGGCGTCGTAAGGGGCTTCTTCAGCATACCCCATTCTTCCATCTCCCACTGAAAGAAAACAGCTATGCTTTAAAAACCTGTGCAGATCAAACTTAAGGTGAAGAATTCTAGTACAGGAGGTTTATAATGGAGAAAGTATAGATTTTTCAGTAAGTGATCCTGGGACAACTGGATATTCACTTTTTTGCCATTGTTTTTCATTCTTTTTATTTTATTTTTTGTTGGTCAAAACAATGGAATTTTATTTTGATGAAAAACTGGAGTTTACAATCATTTAGTAAATGAAAAGCACTTCATTTTCCTATTTCACACCTTTTTTTTTTTTGAGTTTCACTCTTGTTGCTCAAGCTGGAGTACAATGGCACAATCTCAGCTCACTGCAACTTCCACCTGCTGGGTTCAAGCAATTCTCCTGCTTCAGCTTCCCAAGTAGCTGGGATTACAGGTGCCTGCCACCACACCTGGCTAATTTTTTGTATTTTTAGCAGAAACAGGGTTTCACCATGTTGACCAGGCTGGTTAAACTCCTGACCTCAGGTGACCCAACCACTTCTGCCTCCCAAAGTGCTGGAATTACAAGCATGAGCCACTGCGCCTATCCCACAACTCTTTTTTTTTTCCATTTTTTTTTTTTTTATTAAGACGGGGTTTCACCATGTTGGTCAGGCTGGTCTTGAACTCCCGACCTCAGGTGATCCGCCCGCCCTAGCCTCCAAAGTGCTTGGATTACAGGCATGAGCCATCACGCCCGGCTCGCACAACTCTTAAGAACAAAAGTATTAGTAAATAAATATCTGTGAACAGATTAAGAATAAGGCAGACTGGATAATAAATCACCTTTGATGTTCGCACTCCCTACATGTGACTCACTCTAAAGGGTGACACAGCAACTGATAAATTCCGTTTTAAATCTCATTGTAATCATTCAAATAAGCCCAAGATAAGTATTTTTTGCTCATCATGGGCAGCAAACTACATGAATTTTACTACAGGAATACTTTGACAGAAGCACCTATTTAAGTTACCTCAATATACAGTACCTTAATAGTACTATATTCAAAAGAAATACAAGGATAGTACCATGCTTCTCTCAATTCAGGAATAGTTATGCCATCAGGACAACAGATTATTCCTATTTTATAGTAATCCAGAATATCTTGAAACGCAGTGGAACCAATTCCCTCTGCTACTTCACACTCTCCTTTCTCTTTGGGTCATGTAAAGTTATGTTCTCGGCCAGATCCAAACAAACATCCTGACCAACATTCTATTTGACTGTGCAGTAAAAATGGATGAGTCTACAACAAATCCAGTGTTAGCTACTATTGGTGTTACTCGTTCAGATGTTCTTATATTCCGAGCTCCTTCTTTTGTACTTTCAAATACAAACACCATCTCCCCAAATGTCTTAATTGCTATTTTCTAAACTTGACTGACTACTGTTCCCAGCACTGCTAATGGAGCTATGTGGGGAGGCTTCTTGAGGACAAGGACTGCTTGGGCGGGAGGAACTATGATACTTTTCTCATGCAACATGCTGCTGTCATGTTGGAGAAGTAACATTTCTAATACAAGAAGTGAGTTGAGACTCAGTTCTTTCATAAGATGAATCTTGTGATCTGTCACTTGACCTTCATCTATCTCATCATCTCTCATGTCCCCCACTGGCAACATGAGACTCATTTTGGTGTGGATGACTCCTCTTGTATTCCTCCTTCAGTGTCCACAGAGGATCAGGGCAAAGGCCAAGGACAGCAACACCTCCACTCCCTCCTCAGCCAGATCCCACGAGAGGTGGCTATGGAGGCAGCCACTCAGGCAGCTGTGGCTATTGTAGCCACCTGGGTCTTTATTGTATTTTTTAAACAGCACTGAGAGTGTCTGTGGAAGACAACTGGATAGTCACATACAAAAACATACAACTGTACCTTTACCTCATACATACACAAAAATCAATGTCAGCAAGATCAAAGACCTAAACTTGAAAAGCTAAAAATGATAAAGCTTCTAAGAAATAATAAGAGACATACTCATGACCTCAGAGTATCCGCAAACAGGACACAGAAAGCACTGAAAAGAATTGCTAAGTCTGACTACATTAAAATTAAGAATTTCTGTTTATCAAAAGGGTACTAATAAGATGAAAAAGCACACCTCAGATGGGAGAAGAAATGTCTAATATGTACATACAAATAAACGGCTAGAAGCTCTATAAGTCAAAAATACAGTGCTTGCTTTGGCAGCACATATACTAAAATTGGAACAAAAATACAAGCAATCCAATATCCGAACAGGCACCTCACAAAAGACAAAATTCAGGGCCAGGCGCAGTGGCTCACGCCTGTAATCCCAGCACTTTGGGAGGCCAAGGCAGGTAGATCACAAGGTCAAGAGATCAAGACCATCCTGGTCAACATGGTGAAACCCCGTCTCTACTAAAAATACAAAAAATTAGCTGGGCGTGGTGGCACGTGCCTGTAATCCCAGCTACTCAGGAGGCTGAGGCAGGAGAATTGCCTGAACCCAGGAGGCAGAGGTTGCGGTGAGCCGAGATCGCGCCATTGCACTCCAGCCTGGGTAACAAGAGTGAAACTCCATCTCAAAAAAAAAAAAAAAAAAAAGACAAAATTCAAATGGCCAAACACATTTAAAAAATTCAATCTCAGTAGTTAATAGGAAAATACAAAATTAAAATCACAGATGACAGAGAAAATACTCACTGGGTGAACCAAAAGAATAACCATTTTTTAGTACTTAAAAGTGATTGTTGGCCGGGCGCAGTGGCTCAAGCCTGTAATCCCAGCACTTTGGGAGGCCGAGGCGGGTGGATCATGAGGTCAAGGGATCGAGACCATCCTGGTCAACATGGTGAAACCCCGTCTCTACTAAAAATACAAAAAATTAGCTGGGCATGGTGGCGCATGCCTGTAGTCCCAGCCACTCGGGAGGCTGAGGCAGGAGAATTGCTTGAACCCAGGAGGTGGAGGTTGTGGTGAGCTGAGATCGTGCCATTGCACTCCAGCCTGGGTAACAAGAGTGAAACCCCGTCTCAAAAAAAAAAAAAGCGATTGTTAAAAAAAAATGCAATAATTACCTCTGAGTATTATTGAGCTTGCATTGGATCTTCTGAAAAATAAAAATCCTCTGAAGAATTTTTTTTCTTTTGTTTTGAGACAAAGTCTCACTCTGTCACCGAAGCTGGAGTGCAGTGGCACAATCTCAGCTCACTGCAACCTCCGTCTCCCGAGTTCAAGTAATTCTCCTGCCTCAGCCTCCCAAGTAGCTGGGACTACAGGTGCATGCCACCATGACTGGCTCATTTTTATATTTTTAGTAGAGACAGGGTTTCACATGTTGGCCAGGCTGGTCTCGAACTCCTGAACTCATGATCCGCCCACCTCAGCCTCCTGGGATTACAGGCATGAGCCACTGCACCTGGCCTCTGAAGAAGTTTTTAAAGTTTTCTGATACTCACCAACAAGTTGTACTCTGCCTGAAGACAGAAGTGTTGGATCATCCTTCCTGACATTATTTATTGAGTCATCTACTAGCTCTTTAATGTGATCAATTCCTATGACTTTTCCACTACATCCAACCTGGAAAAGAGAAAACAATTCAGTAGCTCATTGGGCTGCATTTGTTTTTCTAAAGTATTATGGAAGTTTTCCTTATCTAATGTCATATTCTGCAAAGAGAAAACAAAATAGCTTAAGCCTCCAATTAGATTGCTAAATACTCAGTTTATCAGAAATTATTTACCATAGATGCAACTTTCTCAACTATCGCTCTCATTGAATAAAACTTTTAATACTAAGAAAAAATTTTTCTGCTGGGCGCGGTGGCTCAAGCCTGTAATCCCAGCACTTTGGGAGGCCGAGGCGGGTGGATCACGAGGTCGAGAGATAGAGACCATCCTGGTCAACATGGTGAAACCTGGTATCTACTAAAAAATACAAAAAACTAGCTGGGCGTGGTGGCGCGTGCCTGTAATCCCAGCTACTCAGGAGGCTGAGGCAGGAGAATTGCCTGAGCCCAGGAGGCGGAGGTTGCGGTGAGCCAAGATCGTGCCATTGCACTCCAGCCTGGGTAACAAGAGCGAAACTCTGTCTCAAAAAAAAAAAAAAGGAAAAGAAAAAAAAAAAAAAAGAAAGAAAATTTTTCTTAGATTAAATCTAGAACTTTGAAGAAAATTACCAATATTTAATAGTAGTGCAATAATTTTTTATTTAAATTCCATCTAAAGATAGCTTTAAATATTAAGATGTTACATAAAGAATTAGACAGGAAGGAATTTCTACGCTTGATTCTACTGCTGTTAGTAGAAAACATGAAAATATATACAGTGGCTCATATCTATAATCATAGCACTTTGGGAGGCAGAGGCAGGCAGATTGCTTGAGCCCAGGAGTCTGAGACCGGCCTGGACAACATGGCGAAACTCTGTCTCTACAAAAAAATTAAAAAACTAGCCAGGTGTGGTGGCCTGTGCCTGTGATCCCAAATACTCAGGAGGCCGATGTGGGAGGATCACTTGAGCCTGGGAGGCAGAGGCCAAGATCATGCCACTACACTTCAGCCTGGACGACACAGTGAAACCCTGTCTCAGAATATGAAAAACAAAAAACAACAACAAAAATCCCTTCCTTGCATATTATTTTTTATTTGAAAATTAAAATACTAAGTATAGGCAAGGCACGGCAGCTCACTCCTATAATCCCAGCACTTTGGGAGGTCGAGGCAGATGGATCACAAGGTCAGGAGTTCAAGACTAGCCTGGCCAACATGGTGAAACCATGTCTCTACCAAAAATACAAAAATTAGCCGAGCGTGGTAGCACACGCCTGTAATTCCAGCTTCTCAGGAGGCTGAGGCAGGAGAATCACTTGAACCCAGGAGACAGAGATTGCAGTGAGCCGAGATTGCACCATTGCACTCCAGCCTGGGCAACAAGAGTGAAACTCGGTCTCAAAAAAAAAAAAATATATATATATATATACACACACACACATATATATATACACACACACACATATATACACACACACATATATATAAAGTATAAATATTTTAAGAAAAAGTTATAAAAATTTTAAAAATTAACACTTATAAATGCTTTGAAGTCAGACCATCTGGGTTCTTGTCTAAGTGTCATCACTTATATACAGCTGTGTAACCCTGGCAAGTTAACTGTTCCTTTTTTTTTTGTTTTAAGACAGAGTCTCACTCTGTTGGCCAGGCTAGAGTGCAGTGGTGCAATCTCAGCTCACTGCCACCTCCGTCTCCTAGGCTCAAGCAATTCTCCTGCCTCAGTCTCCCGAGTAGCTGGGATTATAGGCCTGTGCCACCATGCCCAGCTAATTTTTGTATTTTTAGTAGAGACAGGGTTTCACCATGTTGGCCAGGCTGGTCTTGAACTTCTGACCTCAGGTAATCTATCCACCAAAGCGCTGGGATTACAAGAGTGAGCCACCTCGCCTAGCCAACCGTTCCTTCTATGAATCAAGTTCCACCATACAAAATGGGGAGGAAAAAGGCATATACTCCATCATAAAAATACGGTAGCACTTAGAACACAGGCACTAGTCCTTAAAACACAAAGCTCTTTCACACATGATAAATGTGTGAAAAACATTAATGCCATTTTATAAAAAATGATAACTCAGAAACCAAATGATTTTTTTAAATGAACACATTCTCTAAAACCATAAACATGTCAAGTATAGAAAGTGAGTCATTCGTTAAATGCTATTTCTAACCTTAAAAAAAAAATAACTGATATCCATTAATGAGACTTAACCTCTATAAAATAAGCCAAACTTCTGAAAAAATATTATGTGTCAGGCATTGTTCTAAATGTTTAGGATACCATCAATAAATAAAAGAAAGCAAACAAAATTCCCAATTCCCTGGAGCTTACATTCTGGTGGGTCTGCTGATTGTATATTTATAGCAAGTTACATGGGTGGATCCACAACTCCCAATTTAACTAGATCAGAATCTTCCAATCTGGCCTCCAGGCACAGTATTTCTCAAATTGAACTGATTTGATTATCTGAGCAATGATCAACCTTTACTCCAACACACATTATCCAACTGGATAGCCATTTTACCAGATAAGGCTCCGATGATAAAAAGTAGAAGTATAACAACAAGGCATTTTTCTAAGATCACTTTTTTTCTTTTTTCTTTTCTTTTTTTTTTTTTGAGGAGTCTCATTCTGTCACTAGGCTGGAGTGCAGTGGCGTCATCTCACTCACTGCAACCTCTGCCTCCTGGGTTCAGGTGATTCTCCTGCCTCAACCTCCCCAGTAGCTGGGACCATAGGCTCTTGCCACCATGCCCAGCTAAGTTTTGTATTTTTAGTAAAGACAGGGTTTCACCATGTTGGTCAGGATGGTATCGATCTTTTGACCTTGTAATCTACCCGCCTCAGCCTCCCAAAGTGCTGGGATTACAGGCATGAGCCACCTTGCCTGGCAAAGAGCACTTTTTCTAATGCAGAAGTTCTACCTTCATTCCTGGTAAACCTGTAGGAATGTTTAGAAACCAGGCTCATTCGAGATTGTGCCACTGCACTCCAGCCTGGCGACAGAGTGAGACTCCGTCTTGAAAAAAAGAAAGAAAGAAACCAGGCTCATTCTGGGTGGGGACAGTGGAGAGGGTGCTGGGAAATGGCTCCTCTGGGAGATGGGGCCTGGCTACTATTCTAAATATCTCAGGCTTCAGAGTAGCTAGATTTCCCTGGGACCCTCAGACCTGTCCCAGGGCCCAGTGGGGAAACCGAGGCCCATATAAGGAAGTAGAATTCTGAGTTGTTAAGGCTAAGCCTGACTCCCCTCTCCATGCTAACCTCCCCCAACCCCCGGCCACCCACTCTGTTGCCTCAGTAGGTTTTTGTTGTTGTTACCCAGGCTGGAGAGTAGTGGCATGATCAAAGCTCACTGCACCTGCACCTCCCCTGCTCAAGGGATTCTCCTGCCTCAGCCTCCTGAGTAGCTGGGACTGCAGGTGCTCCACCACATCTGGCTAATTTTTGTATTTGTAGTAGAGATGGGATTTCACGGATGTTGGCCAGGCTGGTCTCAAACTCCTGGCCTCACGTGATCTGCCCACCTAGGCCTCCCAAAGTGCTGGGATTATAGGTGTGAGCCACAGCACCCAATCCTTCCATAGGTTTTTAGGAGCCCCCAGAACCCCCACTCCCTGTCTCAGCCTGACAAGCTATACTGCTCTATCTCCCCCAACCACATGCCCCATCAAGTACTGCACAGAGACCCCTACCCAGGGGCCCTGCACCATGAGATAATGTGAAATACCAACTGTGGACCAAACACAATAAAACTTCTAATTTTAAGAAGAAGAAAAAAGGGCTCATTCTAGTCTTTTCTGCCAAATGAAAACTTGGAAGAAGGTAGTTTGGAAGCTACTGGCCACCATCTTGTGATTACAAGGATAGAGCTTACCCGATAATGACACTAACATGTAGAGGAAAGTAAAGCCAAACCAAGAAACAGAGAGAAACCTATTGTCAATGACAACATCTGGTCTTTTAAATCCAGCCACACAACAGACCATATATACCCCTAGACTCTTCTGTTATATAAACTAAATAAACTCCCTTTAGCTCCACCAGTTTGGGTTGAATGTTCTGTCACTTCCAACAACAAAATCCTAAGTGATGCTCATTCCAACTGCTATCCTAATAAACAAACAAACATGAAAATCACTAGTGAAAAAAACGCACAGCCAAATCATGTAGTATTCTTCTGTTGGGCCCAGAATGAGAAATAAAGCTCTTACCATACGTGCAAAACATGCAGTAAGGATTCCACTTCCAGATCCTACATCAAGAGCTTTAGCTCCTTCATGCAATTGATCAAACAGAAGTTCTAGTGCGTATGCATGCTACCAAAAGAAAACAAAAGAAATATTAAGACTACAGTACACATATCATGGCATATAAATAAAGTTGCCAACTTTCTACCAATTTTTCTACTATTGTCATCTACCAAGACAACCAAAACATATATCCTTATATCCTTCTGCATAGGAAATACATAAGAAAATTGTTTGAGTAAAATTCTTACATTTAGATCAAGTGTTTCACTAATTTTAGACCTCTCCCTTGAAAACAACAATAATAATATGTAGAATAATAATTTGAGACTACATGAATATTTTTGTTCTCCAACAATCTTCCTCCTTATGGTTTTAGATTCATTAATAATCTTTGCCTAATTCATTACATTGATGATTACAAAACAGTACTCTTTATTTTTATTTTTGTAGAGTCAGAATCTTGCTTTGTTGCCCAGGCTGGTCTTGAATTCCTGGGCTCAAGGGATCACCTGCTCGGCCTCCTGAAGTGCTGAGATTACAGGCACAGGACACTGCACCCAGTCAAAATACTGATTTTTAAATTTTCATTATTCCTTCTACACTCATTAACATTCTTCTGGGTTGGTTGGTTTGTTTTGAAAAAAAAAAAAAATCATTGCAAAAGTGGTTTCAGTAAAAACACACACACACACAAAAAGAAAAAAAAATCACTTTCATTTTTTTCCGTCTTGCTTTTTATTTTTAATTCTCCATAGACTTAAAATTTTTTTTTTGTTTTTTAATTCACTGTGCTATATAATCTGTTACTATCATTCTTGTTGATTCTCAAATTCTCTCAAATTTGGCCTTTGGGAGCCTCTTCAAATCTGCTCCTATGTCCTTCTGACATTACCTCCTCTGCCTTTGAGTACTTCCTCACTTTCCAGGTATCAATCACTACGCCAAGGAGTGCTAGTCTCTTTTAGTAAGCAATGGTATTTAGGATCCCAAACCTGGATGCCAGGTGTGCTCTTTGCTACCAGGATACCATTTTAACAGGTTGCTTTTAATCTCTTCACCACTGCACACGTCACTTTTTTCTTTACAGGCTTGGAAAATATTCCAGGATTACAGTTACTTCCAAGCTTGTGATTTTAAGGTTCATTAATATAGATGTCATTTCTCTTTGCATCCTCACTTTCTGCTTCTCTTTTAATACTGCTAAAATGTATGCAATAAATGATTCAAGATCACAACTGCTTGTTCATATAATACAATCAAAAATATTTTAATCTACTCACATACCTGCACTGTATGCTCACTGTTTGTATATGCATATAAGCATTTATATAGATGTTCCATGTGACTATATACATACGTAGATACACAAGTATCTTTCCTTATTAAGGGTCATAGGTTACTCAGAAAATAAAAGTAATTAAAAATGTATTCATGGCCAAGGTGCAGTGGCTCACACCTATAATCCCAGCACTTTGGGGGGCTGAGATGGGTGGATCACTTGAGTCCAGGAGTTCAAGACCAGCCTGGCCAACATGGTGAAACCCTGTCTCTACTAACAATACAAAAATTATCCCGGCGGCTTGCGGGGCCACACCTGTAATCCCAGCTACTCGAGAGGCTGAGGTTGGAGAATCTCCTGAACCTTAGAGGTGGAGGTTGCAGCGAGCCAAGATTGCACCACTGCACCCCAGCTTGGGCAAAAGAGCCAGACTCTGTCTCAGAAAAAAAAAAAAAAAAAAAAAAAAAAAAAAGATGTAAAAGGTCTCATAAAAAAATTTAAAAATTTAGAAAAAAAAAATGCATTCGTTTTGGAAAAAAATTCTGACATAAGCTATGAATAAGCCAATCACAAAAAGACAAACACTTTATGATTCCACTTATATGAGGTACCTAGAGTAGCCAAATTCATAGAAACGGAAAATAGAATGGTAGTTACCAGGGGCTGAGGTAAAGAAAGAATGGGAAAACTGGGAAACTGTTATTGAGAAATTGTTATTGAATGAGTATATTGTTATTGAATGAGTTTTAGTTGTGCAAGTTGAAAGTGTTCTGAAGATGACTGCATCACAGTGTGAATGTACTTAACACTACTAAATGGTACACTTAAAATGGTTAAGAAGGCAAATTTTTTGTTATGTGTATTTTAACACAATTAAAATATTTAATACATTTATATAAAATGCAGTTTTAACAATAAAAAGACAAATAATCCAATTAAGAAATAGGCAAGAGGCCAGGTGTGGTGGCTCACACTTGTAATCCCAACACTTTGGGGGCACAAGTGGGAGGACTGCTTGAGCTCAGGAGTTTGAGACCAGCCTGGGCAACAGAGCAAGATCCTGTCTTAAAAAAAAAATTTTTTTTAATTATATATATGAAAAAGGTAATGAGTAAGAGACTGAATGTTTCTCCAAAGATACAGAAATGGCCAATACGCACCTGAAAAGATGCTCAACATCATTAATCATTAGGGAAATGCAAATCAAAACCACAATGAGATATCACTTCATAGCCACTAGGATGGATAAAAATTTTTTTTAAAAAAGAAAATAACAAATGTTAACAAGGAAGCAGAGAAACTGGAACTCTCATACATTGCTACTAGCACTGTAAAATGATGCAGCTACTTTGAAAAACGGTTTGGCCATTCCTCAAAATGGCCAATGCACTCCATCCCAGGCAGCAGTGCAAGACTCCATCTCAAAAAAAAAAAAAAAAAAAAAAAAAAAAGCCTGGCCCAGTGGCTCATGCCTGTAATCCTAACACTTTGGGAGGCTGAGGTGGGAGGATCACCTGACCTCAAGAGTTCAGAACTAGCCTGGGCAACACAGTGAGACCTCATCTCTATAACAAATGTTTTAAAAATATTAGGGGTGGCCAGGTGCACTGGCTCATGCCTGTAATCCCAGCACTTTGAGAGGCTGAGGCAGGCAGATCACAAGGTCAGGAGTTTGAGACCAGTCTAGCCAACATAGTGAAAGCCTGTCTCTACCAAAAGTAGAAAAAATTAGCTGGGCAGGTGGCATGTGCCTGTAACCCCAGCTACTCAGGAGACTAAGGCAAGAGAATTGCTTGAACCCACGAGGCACAGGTTGCAGAGAGCTGAGATCATACCACACTGCACTGCAGCCTGGGCAACAGTGCAAGACTTCGTTCTAAAAAAAAAAAAAATTAGGGGTGGTGGGGCCAGGCACAGTAGCTCACGCCTATTATCCCAGCAATTTGGGAGGCTGAGGTGGGCAGATCACAAGGTCAGGAAATCCAGATCATTTTGGTTAACATGGTGAAACCCTGTCTCTACTAAAAAAACAAAAAAAATTAGCCGGGTGTTGTGGCACATGCCTGTAATCCCAGCTACCCAGGAGGCTGAAGCAGGAAAATTGCTTGGACATGGGAGGCAGAGGTTTCAATGAGCCAAGGTCATGCCACTGCACTCCAGCCTGGCAACAGAGTGAGACACCATATAAAAAAAAAAAAAAAAAAAAAAAAAATTAGGGGTAGTGGTATGAGCCTATAATCCTAGCTACCCAGGAGGCTAAGGTGGGAGGATCTTTTAAACCCAGCAGGTCTAGGCTGCAGTGAGCCATTAGTATGCCTCTGTACTTCAGCCTGAACAAAAGAGCAAGACCCTGTCCCAAAAAAACAAAAACTAAAAAATGAAGGGCTAGGCACAGGGGCTCAGGTTGTAATCCCACCACTTTGGGAGGTCAAAGATGGTGGACCACTTGAGGTCAGGAGTTCAAGACCAGCCTGGGGCGAAACCCCATCTCTACTAATAATACAAAAATTAGCCAGGCGTGGTGGCAGGCACCTGTGAATCCAGCTACTCAGGAGGTTGAGGCAGGCAAATCACTTGAACCTGGGAGGCAAAGCCTTCACTGAGCTGAGATTGTGTCACTACACTCCAGCCTGGGCAACAGAGGGAGACTCCATCTCACAAATAATAATAATAAATTAATTAAAATGTTAAAAAAAAATAAGGAAAAGGAATAAAAAAATTGGTAACAGGTCAGGCACAATGGCTCAAGCCTGTAATCCCAGCACTTTGGGAGGCTGAGGCAGATGGATCACCTGAGGTAAGGAGTTCGAAACCAGCCCGCCCAAAATGGTGAAACTCCGTCTCTACTAAAAATTATAAAAATTAGCTGGGCGTGGTGGCAGAAGCTTGTAATCCCAGCTACTAGGGAGGCTGAGTGAGGCAGGAGAATTGCTTGAACCCAGGGGGCAGAGGTTGCAGTGAGCCAAGATCATGCCATTGCACTCCAACCTGGGCCACAGAGCAAGACTCCATCTTGGGGGGAAAAAAAAAAAATGTTTAAATAAGTGAAGACGACATCTTTTCATTTCTTTAAATGTCAATGTCATCTGTATTTTGGTTCAAGGAACTATCAGTCCTTTCTGCATTTTGGTGGGGGGGGAGGGCTTAATGGTCTTTTACTTATTAATTTACGGTATACAAACACACACAAATATATGCATACATATGTATATACTGAAATTTTCTCATGCTGTCATGTATTACAACATTTTCCTCTATTGTTCCTTATAATTATTATTATTATTATTGAGATAGGGTCTCTCTGTCACCCAGGCTGGAGTGCAGTAGCACAATCATGGGCTTACTGCAGCCTCAAATTCCTGGACTCGGACAGTCCTCCTGTCTTGGCCTCCCTTGTAGCTAGGACTATAGGAACATGGCACCACACCCAGCTAAGTTTTAAAATTTTTTGTAGAGACAGAGTCTTGCTTTGTTGCCCAGGCTGGTCTCAAACTTCTGGCTTCAAGCAATAGTCCTGCCTTGGCCTCCCAAAGCGCTGAAATTACAGGTGTGAGCCACCACACCCAGCCAATTTTTCCTCTTCAACTTTTGCTGGTAACATTTTTTCTTTGTAAAAATCCTAGATATCAGGTTTTTTTTTAATGGCTTCTGTGTTTTCTGTCATGTTTCAAAAAGTCATTACTATTCGATTTTTATAAATGTCTGTTTTCTTCTAACATAATTATCAGTTTCACTATAAATGCATATAGAATTTATTTTAGTATTAAGTTTAAATAAGAGCTTCTCCAATCCCAAATAATTGCAGAAAATCAGAAAAGTTATTGTTGTGGCCAGGCACAGTGGCTCACACCTATAATCCCAGCACTTTGGGAGGCCGAGGCAGGAGAATTGCTTGAACCCAGGAGACAGAGGCTGTAGTGGGCATAGACTGTACCACTGCATTCCAGCCTGGGCAATAGGAACAAAACTCGGTCTCAAAAAAACAAAAAAACAAAAAAAAAAACAAGGCCAGGCATGGTGGCTCACGCCTGTAATCCCACATCTTTGGGAGGCCAAGGCAGGCAGATCATGAGGTCAGGAGTTCAAGACCAACCTGGCCAACACAGTCTTTACTAAAAATACAAAAATTAGCCAGGTGTGGTGGCGGGCACCTATAATCCTAGCTACTGTAGCTACTCGGGAGGCTGAGGCAGGAAAATCACTTGAACCCAGGAGGCAGAAGTTGCAGTGAGCCAAGATCACACCACTGCACACCACCAGCCTGGGCAACAGTGCAAGACTCCATCTAAAAAAAAAAGAAAGAAAAGAAAAGCTATAGTTCTTTCCTACAAAACAAAACAAGAGTATTCATTCAAATACTGACATTTAAACCCTAAGAAAAGGTTGGCCACAGTGGCTCATGCTATAATCCTAGCACTTTAGGAGGCTGAGGTGGAAGGACTGCATGAGCCCAGGAGTCAAGGCTGCAGTGAGCTGTGATGATCGTACCACTGCATTCCGGCCTGTGTGACAAAGTAAGACCTTGTCTCAAAAAAATAAAAAATTTTTTAAAAACCCAAGAAAATTCCTAACAACAACAACAAAAAAAGAAAGAAAAAGGAAAAAAAAAGAAAATCCCTAACAGATGAAAACTGCTAGATCACTCAAAATAAGTCCTTCTCAAGGAGGTACGCAGCTTAATGGCTGCTATATTTAACTATTCCCTAATAAATTTTCCACATAAAATGTGAAATAATATTCAACTTAAGATTTCTATAAAATGTCCGTTATACTATTTATCTCTTTTAAATAACTTTCTACTAAATAAGCTTTTATGTTCAATTTTTACATGTCACAGATACTGACAACCACCAAAAACTTTAATATGCCAGTTTCTACCTAAAAAGTCTCCTTCGACAGACCCTGTATTAAGATGTTCAAAAAAGGGCCGGGCGCGGTGGCTCAAGCCTGTAATCCCAGCATTTTGGGAGGCCGAGGCGGGTGGATCATGAGGTCGAGAGATCGAGACCATCCTGGTCAACATGGTGAAACCCTGTCTCTACTAAAAATACAAAAAAATAGCTGGGCATGGTGGCGCGTGCCTGTAATCCCAGCTACTCAGGAGGCTGAGGCAGGAGAATTGCTTGAACCCAGGAGGCGGAGGTTGCGGTGAGCCGAGATCGCGCCATTGCACTCCAGCCTGGGTAACAAGAGCGAAACTCCGTCTCAAAAAAAAAAAAAAAAAGAAAAAAATGTTCAAAAAAGAAAATGATGTTCATTACTAATTTACATAACTCATAGATGATAAACTGAAATATTTAAAAATTTCAAACTTTCTTTAAACCCTTTTTACCAAAAAAATGACTATAGAGAAAAATGTGATCCATTTGTAACCAGATGAACAAACTTAACTTACCATGTGTGGAGCACTGATTGTTGCTTGGAAACCTGCAAAACAAGAAGAGAACTACTGATACAGTCAGCTGCAAAAATAGACTATTTTACATAATTTCTTTTCTAACATCCATATGTTATTTTTCCACAATAATTTTGTTTTAGTTTTTATGATCTCAAGAAAATAAAACTTATGTCTGTTAGAGTATTGCCACCCAGAAGTTAAAATTGGAAAATATAATTATGCCAAAGGGCAATGTTCTCATCTAGTAAAACGGTCCCTCTAAAGTATGGCAGCTAAAAATTTCTTCTTCTGTAGAGTCAGCTAAGAAAGAAAGAATTTCAGTAAGTTGAGAGTCGATATATTTTTGGCTTGTTTTTCCTTCAGACTTTTTTTTTTTAAATAAGCTTTCATATATAATAGGTATACAAAATCTGTGCAAAATTAAATTGCTTTATATTTCCATCAACTTAAAAAAAACTAGAATAACTGAAAAAATAGCTTAAAAGACCAATAAACTACTTCATTTTATTCTTTATCTTATCATCTAATGTTAATTCACACAATCCTTTCTTGGATCTTAACTTTCAGTTTCTCTTCTTCTGGCGTTCTTTCTCAAAACTTATTTACCTGCTTCTTTCTGCCTCTGAAACAATTTTCACTGAGCGGTGGTAGCAGGTGCCTTCGGGGTTCAGAAGCTCCCCAGGATCTTCTCTGCTGACTGTTACAGTGCTTCAAAAGAAGATAGCATGGCAGCTGGCTGACAGAATCCTGAGGCACTTCTAAGCCTCAAAGGCGCCCACTGCCAAGGCTCAGCAGTTCAGCAAAACCTGCTTCAGGAGAAGGAGTTAAATATAGGACTTTCTAAAAAACAAACACAAGCCAAAAAATCAGGGCAAGTGAAGCAGAGAAGTCAGTAATAACTTAAGCACACTTACTGATCTAAATATTGATTTAAAAAATTAATCCTAACCTGAAAACTAATTTTTAGTCAACACTAAGGTCCCTAAAGAAAACTCAGCACTCAGCTAATACTCTTAGTTTTCATTAAAAATTTTTTTCACTAAAATATTTTATTTTAAAAAATGTTTTTAATTCTTTATACATATTATATGTTGTTTGAGAAAATAGAAAAACATACATCATTTTATTAAAATACATATGTTTGGGATGATGAAACGTACTGAGTCATAAAATTCAAACTAAGAAGGTAATCATAGGCTGGGTGTAGTGGCTCACGTCTGTAATCCCAGCACTTTGGGAGGCCAACATGGGTGAATCACCTGAGGTCAGGAGTTCAAGACCAACTTGACCAATATTGTGAAACCCCATCTCTCTTAAAATTACAGAAATTAGCTGAGCGCGGTGGCTCAAGCCTGTAATCCCAGCACTTTGGGAGGCTGAGGTGGGTGGATCACAAAGTCAAGAGATCAAGACCATCCTGGTCAACATGGTGAAACCCCGTCTCTACTAAAAATACTAAAAATTAGCTGGGCATGGTGGCACGTGCCTGTAATCCCAGCTGCTCAGGAGGCTGAGGCAGGAAAATTGCCTGAACCCAGGAGGTGGAGGTTGCAGTGAGCCAAGATCGCGCCATTGCACTCCAGCCTGGGTAACAAGAGCGACTCCGTCTCGAAAAAAAAAAAAAAAAAAAAAAAAAAAAAATTACAGAAATTAGCCAGGCATGGTGGTGTGCACCTGTAGTCCCAGCTACTTAGGAGACTGAGGCAGGAGACGCAATTGAATCTGGGAGGAAGAGGTTGCAGTGAGTCTAGCCACTGCATTCCAGCCTGGGCGACAGAGTAAGCCTCCATCTCAAAGAAAAAAACAAAAAAGTAATAACAAATATCTGTGTCCCAGGCTTTTTATAGTTACAAAAATCATAAAGTAAATGATGAAAAGTGCGACATTTTCAGAAATCTAAAGCTTACCTATTGATTGTGGAGAATCCATGTAAGGGTTACATTTTGCATAGTGGGAGCGGTCTGTAGCCAGCATAACTTCAAATACTTTATCTGTCTTGATGATTCCATTTTCTGAAACAAATGAGGTAAATATTTTCAGGAGAGAGACACGATCAGAGGTATTTTAGAATAATTACACCAGTTGTGCTGCACAGACTGAACTGGTAGAACGATCAGAAGCTGCTGCAATGGCCCAGGTAACAGCAAACTGGTCTTTAATAACAATAAGGACAAAGAAAAGTAGAAGGATAATGAGATGTTTGGTAGGTAATATATACCTTACTAACTGGATTTGGGGGTGGGAATGGGGATAATTGTTGAGATGCTATTGCCATTTACCGATTTAAGAAATCCTGGAGCAAGATCAAAGTTAAGGGGAAAAATGGTAAGTTATCTATTCAGTTAGGGGCTTTGGAGCATACAACTGGAGCCATTCTGTAGTCAGTTGGACATACGAATCTGGAGCTCAGAAAAGAGATCTAGAATAGAGATCGAGATTTCTATTTATTATGGATGTCAACTGAAGCAATCAAAGTGAATTCAAAGTGGCCAGAGAATAAATAAAGAAAAACAAAGCCAATGTCTAAAAGACATGCAAAGAAAGCAGAACCATCAAAGATAAGGGGCAGTAACAGAGGCAGGATGAAGACCAGGCCAATATACTGTTGTAGAGCCCAGGAGAAGTTAATTTCTCAAGAAGAGAACCAAGATCAATAATATATATTTGCCTTCCCTAACAATTAGTTATTTGAGATAAAGGCCAGGTACAGCAGCCCATGCGTATAATCTCAAAGCTTTGGAGTCCAACAAGGGAGGATAGCTTGAGCCCAGGAGCTTGAGATCAGGCAAGGCAACATAGTGAGACCGTCTCTACAACAACAAAAAATTAATTAGTTGGGCATCATGGCACAAGCCTGTAGTCCTAAATACTCAGGAGGCTGAGGTGAGAGAATTGTTTGAGCCCAGGAGTTTGAGGTTAAAATGAGCTATGATCATACCACTGTACTCCAGCCTGGGTGAAAAGGCATGACCCTGTCTCAAGGCCATGGTGCATAGGAAAAAAAAAAAAAAAAAAAAAATCAAACCAATGCCATTCAAAACTAATGTAAAAAGAAAACAAAATGCAAATCAAAACATTTGTGCTGATTAAACAAAACTAGTATTTAAAACTATATTCTAAGAAAATGCACCAGGAAGTAAACATTACTGGGAAGATTTTAAAGGAAAGGAAAAGAATTATCAGAACATCAAGGCAAAAATAATTAGCTGGGTTAGCATGGTGACTAACGTCTATAATCCTAACACTTTGAGAGGTTGAGGCGGGTGGATCATTTGTGGCCAGGAGTTCAAGACCAGCAGGGCCAATATGGCAAAACCCCATCTCTACTAAAAATACAAAAATTAGCCAGGTGTGATGGCACATGCCTGTAATCCTGGCTCCTTAGGAGGCTGAGGTACAAGAATTGCTTGAACCCAGGAGGCAGAGGCTGCAGTGAGCTGAGATCATGCCACTGCACTCAAGCCTGGGCAACAGAGTGAGGCTCTGTCTTCAAAAAAATTTAAAAAAAAAATAACTAGCCAAGCATGATAGTGCATGTCTGTGGTCCCCGCTACTAAGGTGGATCACCTGAGCCTGGGAGGCAGAGGTTGCAGTGAGTCAAGATCACACCGCTGCAATCCACTCCAGCCTGAGTGACAGGATGAGACTCAATCTCAAAAAAATAAATAAATAAATAAGGCAAAAAGAGCAAATTACCTATTATAATAAAAAATTCGAAAATCAGCCAGGTGTGGTGTTTGTGCACCTGTGGTCCCAGCTACTTGGAGGCTGAGGTGGCAGGATCACTTGAGCTCAGTAAGTCAAGGCTACCGTGAGCCACGATCATGCCACTGTACTCCAGCCTGGGCAGTAGAGTAAGACCCTGTCTCAAAACACAAACAAACAGGTCAAGCATGTGGCTCATGCCTGTAATCCCAGCACTTTGGGAAGCCAAGGTGGGTGTATCGCCTGAGGTCAGGAGTTCAAGACCAACCTGGCCAACATGGCAAAACACCATCTCTACTAAAAATACAAACATCAGCCAGGTATGGTGGCATGTACCTGTAATCCCAGCTACTCAGAAGGCTGAGGCAGGAGAATCACCTGAACCCAGGAGGCAGAGGTTGCAATGAGCCAAGATTATACCACTGCACTCCAGCCGAGGTTGAGAGTGAGACTTCGTCTCAAAACTAACAAACCAACAAAAAATTAGGTCACCACAGGTTTCTTAAGAGGAAAAAACAAGCTGGATGCAGTGGCTCACATCTGTAATCCCAGCAATTTAGAAGACAAAGGCAGGTGGATGACTTGAGTCCAGGAGTTTGAGACCACCCTGGGCACCATGACTAGACCCCATCTCTACAAAAAATTTTAAAACTTAGCCTGGCATAGTGACGCATACCTGTAGTCCCAGCTACTCAGGGGACTGAGGTGGGAGGATCACTTGCGCCTGGGAAATCAAGGCTGCAGTATCCCCTTATCATGCCACTGCACTCCAACCTGGGCGACAGAGCGAGACCCTGTCTCAATAAATAAAAATAAAAATTAAGAGCTAGATTCAAAGCAAAGTAAGAATAAAGCAGCATTTTCAAGAAATTCAAGAAAGAAAATGCAAGCCAACAATAAAAAGAGGTGAACGGCCAGGTGCGGTGACTCACATCTACAATCCCAGCACTTTGGGAGGCCGAGGTAGGAGGATCATTTGAACTCAAGAGTTCAAGACCAGCCTGAACAACATAGTGAGAACCTGTCTCTACCAAAAAAGAAAAAAAATAGGAGCAAATTACTGATATACTCAACATGAATGAATCTCAAAAGCACTAATCTAAGTGAAAGAAGCCAGGCAAGGAGACTACATATGATTCCATTTTTAACACATTCTAGAAAAGCCAAAACCATAGTGGTAAAAGGCCTATCTGTAGTTGCTAGGGGATAGAAGGGAGGAGATTAATTGCAAAGAGACACTAAAAAAACTTTTTCGGTGAAAGACGTGTTCTATAGCAGAGATCAGCAAACAACTTTAAAGGTCTAAATAGTAAATATTTTAGAATTTACAAGCCATATACTCTCTGTTGCAACTACTAAACACTGCCACTGTGGTGCAAAAACAGCCAGAAACACTACATAAATGAAAGTGTGGCTGTGTTTCAATAAAAATTTATAAAACCAGGCAGGAGGCCAAATTTTGTCAGTGGCCTGTGGTTTGCTAACCCATGTTCTACATCACAACAAAGTTGGTGGTTACACACTGTATCTGTGTGTCACATTTTTTCAAATTGTATTCTTGAAACTGGTGAGCCCCAGTTGCTAGCCTGAAAGCATTTTTTTTTTTAAGTTCTAAAAGCAGAGTAATAGTAGCAGTGATAACCACTGAATGTTTACCATGTTAAAGATACAGTTCTAATAAACAGAATCAATCTTAAGTTGTCTCAAACAAGCCTATAAAGTAGGCACTATTATTATTTCATTTGACAGATCATAACATTGAGGTTAGAAAAACTAATTAAGTAGTCCAAGATAACAGAGCAAATAAGGGGTAGGGTTATTCAAATTAATGTTAGATTTCCAGTGATTACTTCACTATACTGCTACTAACTTATTCAAATAGCTTAGTGAGTTCTACTACTTTCCAAAATACTTCTTGAGTGGTTCATTTGCCCTGCTATTAACTCAAATTCCAGAGGGTGATTCATAGACTCTCAAGATCACAAGAGGCTTTAGAAGCCATCAAGTCTAACTTCATAAATTGGTACCATATTCTCTACTAAAAGAGTTTCATTATTGTGGTTCTTTTTTTTTTTGAGACGGAGTTTCGCTCTTGTTACCCAGGCTGGAGTGCAATGGTGCGATCTCGGCTCACCGCAACCTCCGCCTCCTAGGTTCAGGCAATTCTCCTACCTCAGCCTCCTGAGTAGCTGGGATTACAGGCACGCGCCACCATGCCCAGCTAATTTTTTGTATTTTTAGTAGAGACGGGGTTTCACCATGTTGACCAGGATGGTCTCGATCTCTTGACCTCGTGATCCACCCACCTCGGCCTCCCAAAGTGCTGGGATTACAGGCTTGAGCCACCGCGCCCGGCCTATTGTGGTTCTTACTAGCTCATTCAGACCTTTCTGATTACTAGCAAATTTCCCTGTATTAAGATGAATTTCCCTTTTCATAATTCACTCACATGAAACCCTTAGTGTTATTCTCTGAAGTCATGAAGAATATATTGAATTTCTATCTCGTCAATCTTTTTTTACATATCCGAACATATATCATGACTACCTCAAGCCTTATTTTTTTAATCTTTTTTTATTCATCAGTTTTTGAAACCATCATCATATTTACTGTATTCATCCTTCTCTAGATGGATACTTAACGTCTGACATCTTAAAGATTTTACTTGAGGCACATTCTAAAAATCAAAGCAAGTTAAAGAAATAGGCCAGGCACAGTGGCTTATGCCTGTAATCCCAGCACTTTGGGAGCAGAGGTGGACGAATCATGAGGTCAGGCGTTCCAGACCAGCCTGGACAACATGGTGAAATACCATCTCTACTAAAAATACAAAAAAAAAAAAAATTAGCTGGGCATGGTGGTGTGTGCCTGGAATTCCAGCTACTCAGGAGGCTGAGGCAGGAGAATTGCTTGAACCCAGGAAGTGGAAGTTGCAGTGAGCTGAGATTGTGCCACTGTACTTCAGTCTGGGTGACAGAGCGAGACTCTGTCACAAAAAAAAAAAAAACCACTTCCTTCGAGTTTGATAATATACTTCTATCAAATTTATGTGAGCTTCTTTGGCTCTATGGATATGGAGGCACATGGAATTGCTTCTAAATTGTTATTAATAGCACACCATCAGTCATTTATTAAAAAGCTGAACCTGGCTGGGCGCGGTGGCTCAAGCCTGTAATCCCAGCACTTTGGGAGGCCGAGGCAGGTGGATCACGAGGTCAAGAGATTGAGACCGTCCTGGTCAACACGGTGAAACCCCGTCTCTACTAAAAATACAAAAAATTAGCTGGGCATGGTGGAGCATGCCTGTAATCCCAGCTACTCAGGAGGCTGAGGCAGGAGAATTGCCTGAACTCGGGAGGCGGAGGCTGCGGTGAGCCGAGATCGCGCCATTGCATTCCAACCAGGGTAACAAGAACGAAACTCCGTCTCAAAAAAAAAAAAAAAAAAAAAAAAAGCTGAACCTGGCCAGGCGCGGTGGCTCATGCCTGTAATCCTAGCACTTTGGGAGGCCGAGGTAGGTGGATCACCTGAGGTCAGGAGTTCAAGACCAGCCTGGCCATCATCGTGAAACCCCACCTTTAAAAAAAAATTTAAAAAGAGGCCGGGCGCCTTGGCTCACGCCTGTAATCCCAACACTTTGGGAGGCTGAGGCAGGTGGATCACAAGGTCAATAGATCAAGACCATCTGGTCAACATGGTGAAACCCCATCTCTACTAAAAATACAAAAAATTAGCTGGGCATGGTGGCACGTGCCTGTAGTCCCAGCTACTCAGGAGGCTGAGGCAGGAGAATTGCCTGAACCCAGGAGGCGGAGGTTGCGGTGAGCCGAGATTGCGCCATTGCACTCCAGCCTGGGTAACAAGAGCGAAACTCCGTCTCAAAAAAAAAAAAAAGAAAGAAAGAAAGAAAGAAAGAAAGAAAGAAAGAAAAGTGGAACCCATCAAGGCTCAGAATAAAACTTTTCTTAGGCATTACCGGGTGGTTTCCAAAATTTTCACAAGTTTCTTACTATTTATTTTTGCCCCAAGATCCCATGTTTTAAAAAAATGCTTAAACTTGGGCATGTCCATAGGGTAAAAAATAATAATTGTTTAAATGCTTAAACCAAACTATTATATATTTACTAAGTTTTTAAATCATTTTCTATTTTTGGTAATCTATGATATATATAAAATAACATAGTGCCCTATGCCAGTGCCCTAAAATATTTCTAGCAAACGGCAAAGTAATTTGATGTTGTACTTTGCATGTAGAGACTAATTAGGGATAAACGTGCAATTACCATTAGGCTTTTCTGAAATAGAGAACAGCTTGAGAACCACCCATACCCAGTCTGCTTGCAGCCCTAGGGTCTAAAGACCCTAATTAAATGATTATAATAATGGCTAATGTTGGTCCAAATATGCAACTGATCCAAATAAGAACAGTATTCAAAAAGGAGAATGCAATAGAATCCAAGCTACCACCCAAATAATAAAAAGCTTGAAAAAATTAGGGTCATGGTAAGAAAAATATTTCTTTTCCTAACTTGAAGGGTGGATGAAAATGGGCACAGAGGATAAATCAAATTCCAGGAAAAAAACACACTATACAAGAGATATGATTTACATATGAAGAAAACTAAAATGTGACAAGATTTCGAGCAACTGATGTTTTTAAAAAAAGGAAAAATATTTGCCAGTCTTCAATAGCAGAAAGGTCTGTAATACAGGAAAGAAACAGCAGGGAATAAACCCAACACACTACACAGTTCAGCAAAGTATGGATATAGTCATAAATATTAATGATGGCTACTGATTGTCAACTTTTGAAATCAACAATAAAGTGCAGAAGATTTATTTACTGCTCAGAATGAAATGTAAATGTTATCAACTTTGACAATGTAAAAGAACTGTCAATCAATTTGGAAATGAGAGCAGGAACTCCCTAATATCCTTTCTTACCAGTAGACAGGTTAAGAGGTAGTGTCAGTTTATAAATTGTGGAACAAGAAATAGAGGTTAAAGTCTATTATTCAAAGTTACAAAGGTGGCTGGACACAGTGCCTCTTGCCTGTAATCCCAGCACTTTGGGAGGCCAAGTCCAGGTGGATCACAAGGTCAGGAAATCAAGACCACCCTGGCTAACACAGTGAAACCCTGTTTCTACTAAAAATACAAAAAATTAGCCAGGCGTGGTGGCAAGCGCCTGTAGTACCAGCTACTCGGGAGGCTGAGGCAGGAGAATTGCTTGAACCTGGGAAGTGGAGGTTGCAGTGAGCCGAGATCACACCACTGCACTCCAACCTGGGCAACAGGAATGAAACTAGGTCTCCAAAAAAAAGAAAAAAAAAAAAAAACAAAGTTACAAAGGTAACCACAAAAGAGGAACCAAAAACTATGATAATAACTATATGAAGGAAGGGGATAGGTTTGTATTGTGTAAATCCTCACCCATCTTGGCAGGAGGTCAACATACGATGTCTAAAATAGATAAAACATGAAACAGCAGTTTAAGCATATGATTTGGAGATATGAAGATAATCACAAGAACCAAAAAAAACAAAAACATAGCTAAAATGGTTCACTCTAAGCAATGAGTCTGATACTGTATCTTTTTCTTTTTTCTTTTTTTTTTGAGACAGAGTCTCACTCTCTTGCCCAGGCTGGAATGCAATGGCGAGCTCTCGGCTCAGGCAACCTCCGCCTCCTGGGTTCAAGCAATTCTCCTGCGTCAGCCTCCCAACTAGCTGGGATTATAGGTGTGCACCACCACACCCGGCTAATTTTTGTATTTTTAAGTAGAGACCGGGTTTCACCATGTTGGTAAGGCTGGTCTCAAATCCCTGACCTCGTGATCCTCCTGCCTTAGCCTCCCAAAGTGCTGGGATTACAGGCATGAGCCACTGTGCCTGGCTTATACTGTATCTTTTAATTATGTACATATATTACTTGAATACATATATTACTTGATTAAAAATTAATCTCAATCCTCCTAGCCTGTCATAGTATGTATGTGTATATATATGTTTATACACACACACACACACACACACACACACAGACCACTCTTATAATCAGCAAGATACAGCAAGGACTCCTTTACTTTCATAGTGATCAAATTTTATTTTGTGTGTGTGTGCGTGTACATATATATATATATATATATATATATATATATTTTTTTTTTTTTTTTTTTCCTTTTTACCTGCATCCTCTATAATCCAGTACATAGTGACAGAATTTTATTTGGGTGCATTCCCAATTAGTCTCCCTGTGATTATGTGTAACCCTACAATTAAGTTCTTGTCAATGGAACATATGTAAAATTTATGTATACAACTTCCAGATCATGATCTTAAAAGGCATGGGTGTTTTCCTTTTTCTCTTGCTTACCCCCTCATTGGCTGGCAGAGGGAAATAGTGAAGGTACACTGTCTTTAACCTTGCAGATGAGGAAAAGAACAGAGCCACAAGAGAAGAGTCTAGGTTTTCAGCACCATGGAACTACCACACTAGCCTTGAACTGTTTGGATTGCTATGAGAGAAACTTTTATCTTGTTTAAGGTATTGTTTTGGTCTTCGTTATAGCAACTGAACAATGTACCTTCATGCACAAGGCATATGAAGAGGCAAATAAGACCAGCCTGAGTGGCTGGGTGCAATGGCTCAAACCTATAATCCCAGGACTTTGGGAGGCCAAGACGGGCGGATCACCTGAGGCCAAGAGTTCAAGACCAGCCAACATGAAGAAACCCCAGTCTCTACAAAATTAGCCGGGCATGGTGGAGCATGCCTGTAATACCAGTCACTCAGGAGGCTGAGAAAAGAGAATCGCTTGAAGCCGGGAGGCAGAGGTTGCAGTGAGCTGAGATTGCGCTATTGCACTCCAGCCTGGGAAACAAGAGCAAATGAAACTCCATCCACAAAAAAAAAAAAAAAAAAAAAGCAGGGGCGGTGGCTCATGCCTGTAATCCCAGCACTTTGGAGGTCCAGGAAGCTGGATCACCAGGTCAGGAGATCAAGACCACCCTGGCCAACATGGTGAAATACTATCTCTACTAAAATACAAAATATTACCCAGGCATGATGGTGTACGCCTGTAGTCCCAGCTACTAGGGAGGCCGAGGCAGGGGAATCTCTTGAACCCTGGCAGCAGAGGTTGCAGTGATGAGAGAGAGAGAGAGAGAGAGAGAGAGAGAGAGGGAGGGAGGGGGAGGGAGAGGAGGGAGAGACAGAGAGAGAAAGAGAGAAAGAAAACAAGCTACAGATGGATTTCAAGTCATATAGAAACTTTTTCTAAGCTTGTTACAAGGTTACATCTCAATAAAAGAAATATTACCTATTATATTAGTTTATAACACTTAGATAGCTGTTAATCATCTACCGCCCTATATTTCTTCTCTGCTATCAACATGTATGGGAAAACAGTAAGAAATTAACAAAACTTGGCCAGGCACAGTGGCTCACACCTGTAATCCCAGCACTTGGGGAGGCCAAGGCAGGTGGGGTTTGAGGTTAGGGGTTTGAGACCAGCCTGGCCAACATGGCAAAACCCCGTCTCTACTAAAAATACAAAAATAAGCTGAGCACAAGGTGGCAGGTGCCTGTAATCCCAGCTACTTGGGAGGCTGAGGCAGGCGAACTGCTTGAACCTGGGAGGTGGAGGTTGCAGTGAGCCGAGATCGCCCCACTGCACTCCAGCCTGGAAGACAAGAGTGAAACTCGTCTCAAAAAAAAAAAAAAGAAAGAAATTAACAAAACTTTCACCTTTTTCTTCCCATTCAGAATGACTGGTATTACAGATGCTAAGTAGAGGCTGAGACACTCCCAATGTATTTTTTCTGTACTGAAAAAGTCTGAAAGGAATTAGTTTTAAATTTATAATATAATCAAGAAAGAATTTTATGGGATGGCAAGTTATGGTAAAGCATATTCTCTAAGAGATTATTTTAAAATACGTATCTTTCTCTGCCAACCAATGGGGGAAAAAGCAAAATAAAATGTATCTTTCTCTATACTTTAATAACCTTTTTTTAAAAAAAAATTCAGTCCCCATAGAGACTGCCAAAAATTACCAATGCTGACTATATTTCAAGTCTTCATGACGGGGTATTGGGAAAAGTTTTCAATTAGCAATAATCATGTTTCAGATAAACCTCCTTGGCTATGATACTGCCACTGCCCAAAGCTTACCTTAATAGCTTGATACATAGTGTTTAAATGTTATTTCTCAAAGGAGGATCTGTTCCTTGGATTCCTTTACATCTCTGACAAACTACAATGTTATGAAAAACTTAAAATGCAGGTAACATTTTATATTAATGTTAAACTGTTAACTTCTGTGGTTGGCTTCTAAAACTCATACACTGCACAAGTAATTTCATGCAATCAATAACACTAATTAAAAAAAATTGGGTCAGGCACGGTGGCTCATGCCTGTAATCCCAGCACTTTGGGAGGCTGAGGTGGGCGGATCACGAGGTCAAGAATATGAAACCAGCCTGGCCACGTGGTGAAATCCCATCTCTACTAAAAATACAAAAATTAGCTGGGCATGGTGGTGCATGCCTGTAGTCCTAGCTACTCAGGAGGCTGAGGTAGGAGAATTGCTTGAACCTGGTAGGCAGAGGTTGCAGTGAACTGAGATGGCGCTACTGCACTCCAGCCTGGACAACATAGCAAGACTCTGTCTCAGGGGAAAAAAAAAAATTGGCCGGGCGCAGAGGCTCACTCCTATAATCCTAGCACTTTGGGAGACTGGTTGGGCAGATCACTTGAGGTCAGGAATTTGAGCAGATCACCTGAGGTCAGGAATCACCAGCCTGGCCAACATGGCGAAACCCCATGTCTACTAAAAGTACAAAAATTAGCGGGGTATGGTGGCACAAGCCTGTAGTCCCAGCTACTCGGGCAGCTGAGGCACAAGAATTGCTTGAACCAGAGATGCAGAGGTTGCAGTGAGCCGAGATCATGCCACTACACTGCAACCTGGGCAATACAGTGAGACTCTGTCTCAAAAAATAAAATATTTTTTTTAAATTACAGAATCTAGGTACACTGGGGAAAAAAAATCACAGAATCTTGGATTTTGAAGGGTCCTTAGAGATCTAGTGTACATTCGAATCTAATGACAAAATCCTTTCTACAATATCCCTTACAGTGAAATGGTCAACTGTTCTTTGCTTCAACATATTCAGTGACAGAAAACACTTTTTCGAAGCCAACTCTTTGATTGTTAGGATAGCTTTGTGAATACTTCCTTATAATGAGCCAAAATCTGCCTCCCATTTGTCCTGGTTTGACCCTCTACTACATGACATTTCTTCAAATATTTAAACACCACTGTCCCTAAAGCCTTTTCTCTGCTAAACCAAACCACTTCAATCGTGTCAAAGCACCATATAAGATGCTAACCCTCCTGTTATCTTCATCACCCTTGTCTGATAATCTTTAGTTTTATACTGCCACCCTGAAAACATTTAACCAAAGCTAAATATATTAATAAAAATATTTTTGTAACAGCGCAGTTGAAGCTTTCTCCTCCTACAGCTGAAAATCTCATTAATAAGAATGTAATACAACCAAGCATCAAGATCTACTGCAATCCAAAAGAACTTTCAGTAATGGCAGATATATTCTCTATCTGTACTGTCCAACAGGGTGGTCACTAGTTCCATGTGGCTACTGAGCTCCTGGAATGTGGCTAGTATAACTCAATATATAAATTTTTATTTTTATTTATTTTTATTTTTTATTTTTTTGAGACAGTGTTGCTCTTTCACCCAGGCTAGAGTGAAATAGTGCAATCTTGGCTCACTGCAAACTTCAGCTCCCAGTTTCAAGTGATTCTCCTGTCTCAGCCTCCCAAGTAGCTGGGATTACAGGCACCTGCCACCATACCTAGCTAATTTTTGCATTAAAAAAACAAAACAAGCCTCCTCTCTTCCTTTCTCCGCCATCGTGGTGTGTGCTTTACTTCGTTTCTCGCCATGTCTTCTCACAAGACTTTCAGGATTAAGCGATGCGATTCCTGGCCAAGAAACAAAAGCAAAATCATCCCATTCCCCAGTGGATTCGGATGAAAACTGGTAATAAAATCAGGTACAACTCCAAAAGGAGACACGGAGGAGAACCAAGCTTGGTCTGTAAGAAATCACACATGCGATGGCACACATATTTATGCTGTCTGAAGGTCACAATCATGTTACTAAACCAAGCTATCTGGAGACGTTTGAACAGATTCCTTTCTGTATCTGTTACGAAGGCATTAGTTAGTAGAACCCACAGTGCTTTCATTATTCATGTTTTTAAAAAAAAAGGTTTTGGTTGCCTGGGTTCAGAAATATGTGAGACCTTTCACTTCTAAAAAAAACAAAACAAAACAAAACAAAACAAAACAAAACAAAACAAAAAACCGGGTTTCACCATGTTGGTAAGGCTGGTCTTGAACTCCTGACCTCAGATGATCTGCCTACCTTGGCTTCCCAAAGTGTTGGGACTACAGGTGTAAGCTACCGCACCTGGCCCTAATTTCTGCATTTTTAGTAGAGATGGGGTTTCACCATGTTGGCCAGGCTGGTCTCAAATTCCTGACCTCAGGTGATCTACCCACCTTAACCTCCCAAAACAGGGATTACATACAGGCATGAGCCACCGCGCCCGGCCAATTTTATTTATTTTTAAATAACTTAAATTTAAATATACACCCAGGATTTTTTTTTTTTTTTTTTTTTTTTTGAGACGGAGTTTCGCTCTTATTACCCAGGCTGGAGTGCAATGGCGCGATCTCGGCTCACCGCAACCTCCGCCTCCTGGGTTCAAGCAATTCTCCTGCCTCAGCCTCCCAAGTAGCTGGGACTACAGGCGTGCACCACCATGCCCAGCTAATTTTTGTATTTTTAGTAGAGACGGGGTTTCACCATGTTGACCAGAATGGTCTCGATCTCTTGACCTCGTGATCCACCCGCCTCGGCCTCCCAAAGTGCTGGGATTACAGGCGTGAGCCACCGCGCCCGGCTACACACAGGATTTTAAGTTTACTTACTAGTACCTATCCATAAAACTGGCTTGAAATAAGCCAAAATGAGGAGGTATATTCTGGACTCTGAGGCCCCAATTTCTTAGGATTTTACTAGCTGGTTATATTTTTCCCATGTACATAGAAAAGTAATGGAATATTAAGACTAAATGCTGTCTAGGCACATTGGCTCATGCCTGTATTCCCAGCAATTTGGGAGACTGAGGTGGGTAGATCATTTGAGCCCAGGGGTTTGAGATGAGCCTGGGTAACATTGGGAAACCCCATCTCTACAAAGACAAAAATTAGCCAGGCATGGTGGTGTGCACCTGTAGTCCCAGTTACTTGGGAGGCTGAGGTTCGGGGATCTCTTGAACCCAGGAAAAGGAGGTTGAGGTAAGCCAACATCACACCACTGCACTCCAGCTTTGGCAACAGAGACTGTGTCTCAAAAAAAAAAAAAAAAAAAAAAAAAAAGAGAAGAAAGAAAGAATAAGCGCTCTTTGCTATTAACAACACCTACTAGTGGCTAAGAACTGGTGCTATAAATAGAATTAGAAAATGAATTCATTATTTACAAAAGTAAATGCTTTTAGTATACAAAACCCCAAATAATCATAATTCTTGCATATTCAAATGGCTACTAAAGATCTCCACTTACATGTCTTAGAACCTGACATTCCTCGAAACAAACTCCTGATTTCCCACATTCCCCCTCCTCACAGAATAACCCTAGCTGCTTACTCACTCATCACTTCGAATTCAGAAAATGGCAAATCATTCCAGTTGCCAAGGCCCAAAACCTTGGTGTTGGATCCTCTAATCTTTCTCCCAAACTCTAAATCCAAATCTAGAATGTGCTATTTCTACTGCCTGGAATGCTTATCCCAAGTCTACCTGCATGATCTGTATCAATTCCTCCAGCAAATCTTTGGTCTAACGATACCTCACTGAGGCCTTCTCTATAACTACAAACCTACTGCCCCACACACTCTGTCCTCCCTTCCTACTTTGTCACTTATCATGTGACATACTATACTTGGCTGCTCCCATTAGAAGCTACAAGAGGGAGTGGATGTTTGTTTTCTTCACTGCCATATCCCCAGTGCCTGTCATATAGAAGCCACTCAAATATCAGCTGACTGAATGACAAATTCTATAAACATTATACATGTAAAATGACAAAATCAAGAATGCAAAAGAAACGTAAATAGAAACAATTGATGCATTAGGAGAATGGACTAAATTATTTTTACAAGTAAAAATAGATAAAAGAGCAATTGTTTTCAGTGTCCAGTATAGTAGTTCCCCCTTATCCACAGGGAATACGGTCCAAGACCCTTAATAGATGCCCAAAACTGCACACAGTACCAAAGTCCATACAGCCCATATAGATGCTCAACATGTTTTTTGGGTTTGTTTGTTTTTTTTTTTAAGACAAGGTATTGCTCCATCACCCAGGCTGAATGTAGTGGCATGTTCTTGGCTCACTGCTCCCTCAACCTCCTGGGCTCAAATGATCTTCCCATCTCGGCCTCCCGTGTAGCTGAGACTACAGGCATGTACCACCACACCCAGCTAATTTTGTTTATGTTTTGTAGAGAAAACAACAAATGTTATTCTCACTATGTTGCCAGGCTGGTCTCGAACTCTTGGACAGAAGCAACCCTCCTGCCTCAGTCTCCCAAAGTGCTGAGATGACATGTGTGAGCCACCATACTCGGCCCTCCTTGACTTATAGCAGGTTTATGTCCCTTATGCCAGGTTAACATCCAGTAAAGTAAAAAACTTGTCAGTCAAACCACTGCTAAGTCAGGGACCATTTGTATATTATGTTTTCTTCTGATACATAACATACCTATAACAAAGTTTAATTTATAAATTAGGCACAATTAAGAGATTAACAAAAATAATGAATAATAAAATATAACAAGTATAATAACATGCCAGCACCGTTATTCTTGTACTTTGGGTCTATTATCAAGTAAAGTAAGAATAATTTAAACACAAGCCCTGTGATACTGTGACAATCACTGCTAACCAAACAGGCTATTAAGTGACTAACAGGCAGGTAGTGCAGACAGCATGGATATGCTGAACAAAGGGATGATTCATGTCACGGGTAGGATGAAGTGGGACATCTAGAGAGTTCCTCACGCTATTCAGCATGGGACACAATTTAAAACTTATGAATTGCTTATTTCAGGAATTTTCCACTTAATATTTTCAGACCTCAGTTGACTTGAGGTAACTGAAATTTCAGAAAGCAAAACCATGTGATAAGGGAGGGATGACTATCTAGCATTTGAAGCCTATCCGTTAACCTCCCACAAACCCTCTGGTTTAAATACCCCTGCTCCAGAACATCATCTCACCTACTCATGCTACCTTCCTAAATTTTACCATGGCTTGAAATTGTATCAATACAAGTAGAAATTAAACTCTAATATAAGCATTACTTAAATGTCACATTCCCTGGATTAAGCAGACTCACAGTTGTTTTAAATTAGGCTAATTTGTTTCAAGAGCATATTACCAGTCCATAATCATAAAATCATTTTATTTTTCATTTCTATAGACCTATGCTGCCCAATGTGGTAACTACTAGATATATGTGGTTATTTCATTAAGTTAATTAAAATAAAACCAAATTTCAGTTCTTCAGTTGTCCACATTTCAAATGTTAAATGCCACATGTCACTGGTTCTCAAAATGTGGTCCCTAGACCAGCAGTGCACCCCTTACAAATCTGTTAGAAATACAAATTCTCAAGTTCCAGCAATCTGTGTTCTAAAAGGCTCTGCAGTTCATCCAGGAGATTTTGAAGCATGCTCAAGTCACTGTTAAATTACTTAAGAGTGGTTATAGGCCATGACATAAGAAATCTACCATTACAATCTAAAATAGTCTATAAATGATGCATCAACTATGAAATCATATAACCATATTTCTATTATGATGGATTCTAATACAAAAGGAAAACAAAATATTCTTAACAAATTATATTAAGCTGCATTTCCAAAAAAAAAAAAAATTAAAACCGTCATTTCCTTCCTCTTCCAGTAAGCAGACTCCTTTTCATTTCAACATCAATATAATCACAATTTTCACATTTTTCTAAGATTTCAATTAAAATCCTTTAATTTAGGAAGAATATACACAGTAGAATAATGAGAAGGAAGGCAATATTTTCTAATTTTACGTCAATTGCAATTTTCACATTACCAACTATTAATTGTATGATCAGCTAATAAATAAAAATAAAACTATTAGCTAGAATTATCTCAGCAAGAAGTTGAAACTGAAGTTGCACAAGTGTTACAAAAGAGGCCAAACTACTACTACTCTAATTTCCTCTTACCAATCATAAATCTAGTAAAAAACTAAATATTTGCAAAACCAACATCTGTACATCCATGTATGTTAAATAGTCCTCGTTAAATTTTCTGACAAACATCCTTAGAAATTTCAGCTTAAGAACAGTAATGCAATATCTTAAAGTGATTATGAAACCACTGAGAAAAGATCTATCTAGTCTTGGCTTACCACAATTTGGCCCAAAAAGGAGAGACTTTAAGAGCCTGATTGATTACAAATTTCTGTCACAGCCAAGTGCCTTCTATGATAACCTACTGGTGGAAAATTACTTAATGACAATTTGTGTAAAATATCTTTCAAGTACACATACTGCAATAGGGCACTGAGATCATGTTAAGGGATTTTATAAAAATATTTACAACATATTGAGCCTATGTGCCATCCATGAGAACCCAAATCATACTTCATACCACTGTTGCAGCACATAAATGTCCATTTCCAGTCAAGCATCATTCCATAAAATGAACCTGACAATGCTTGACAAAATGTTGACATCTCGGCCAGGTGTAGTGGTTCATGCCTGTAATCCCAGCGCTTTGGGAGGCCGCAGCAGGTGGATCACTTGAGGTCAGCAGTTCAAGACCAGCCTGGCCATCATGGTGAAATCCCATTTCTACCAAAAATACAAAAAATTAGCCAGACGTGGTGGCGCATGCCTGTAGTCCCAGCTACCTGAGAGGCTGAGGCAGGAGAATCGCTTGAACCTGAGGGGGAGGTTGCAGTGAGCCAAGATCACGCCACTGCACTCCAGCCCGGGCAGCGAGAGCAAAACTCTCGCTCAAAAAAAAAAATTATTTTTTCTTTAAACTTCTCTAAGAACTTAATAGTCATCCCTTTTTTTCCATAAATGCCCATTAAGTGTCCATAATACGCCTAAATCTGTGCTAGACAGACGAAGGTGACTTGAGAGAAATTCGGAGTACTGTTTGGCACATTGGTTGGTACTTTTGTTTTTTTTTTGAGACGGAGTCTCGCTCTGTCACCCAGGACGGAGTGCAATGGCGTGGTCTCAGCTCACTGCAACCTCCGTCTCCCACGTTCAAACAATTCTCCTGCCTCAGCCTCCCGAGTAGCTGGGACTACAGGCGCAAGGTCCCATCATACCTGGCTGATTTTTGTATTTTTGGTGGAGACGGGGTTTCACTATGCTGGCCAGGCTGGTCTCTAACTCCTGACCGACCTCATGATCCGCCGCCTTGGCCTTCCAAAGCGCTGGGATTACAGGCGTGAGCCACCACACTCGGCCAGTACTTAATATATGTCATTTTGAATTTTTTTTTTTTTTTTTTTTTTTTTTTTTGGTGGAGGGACAATACTTAAGGTGGAAACTGAGTCTTTAGTGTTTGGTAACAAAGGATGTTTATTTTTTTTTGAGACAGGGTTTCACTGTCTCCCAGGTTGGAGTGCAGTGGCGTGACCTTGGCTCATTGCAAACCCTGCTTTCCGGGTTCAAGTGATCTTCCTACTTCAGCCTCCTGAATACTGGAGTGCCACCATGCCAGGGTAATTTTTCTAGGTTTTTTGTTTTTGTTTTGTGTGTGTGTGTGATGGTTTGTAAGATATAGAGTCTTGCTATGTTGCCCAGGCTGGCCTTGAACTCCTGGACTCAAGCAATTTGTTCGACTCAGGCTCCCAACATTTTGGGATTATAGGTGTGAGCCACCGCGCCTGGCCCTGGTGAAGGTTTAGATGATAACACTTTTTTTTTTTTTTTTTCGAGACAAGAGTTTTGCTCTTGTTGCCCAAGCTGGAGTGCAATGGCTGATCTCAGCTCACTGCAACCTCCTCCTCCCGAGTTCAAGCAATTATCCTGCCTCAGCCTCCCAAGTAGCTGGGATTACAGGTGTGCACCACCACACCCGAATAATTTTTTGTATTTTTAGTAGAAATGCAGTTTCACCATGTTAAGCCAGGCTGGTCTCGAACTCCTGAACTTCGGTGATCCACCCACCTCAGCCTCCCAAAATGCTGACATTACAGGCGTGAGCCACCGAGCACAGCCAAAAAACAATTTTTTAAGGTGCTAGCCCTTAAAGAGATTACAAATCGAGTTGGGAGATAAGACAAACACATAAAAAGCTAAGTTACAGGGGACAATTAAAAATACCATGTGGCAAGATGATTACTGCAAAGTTAGTAGCAAAGAAGAGTGCCAAAGAGATTATTATAGACTGTGGCCCTTCTAGTCTCCCAACAAAATGGGGACGCTATATTTCGGTTTAAAAAAAGAAAATGACACAGCACTCATCCCACCCTAAAATTATCATCAGAGGAAGGAATACAATAACTAAAAAGAATGGTATAAAGAAACTCCACACAAGGTTTTTAAAGCCTATGGTAGCCCTGAAAAAAGTTAGAACCACAGACACAACCCTTTGCTGATCCAGGACCTGTAAAGGCTCCTGAAATACAAGTCTCTCAGGAACAGCATCCCTTGATTCTCTTTCTCCGCCCCCCACGGAGCTTTCCACTGGACAGCCGCCCGAGAAATTTCTCCCAGCATCTGCAATGGCAATACTCTCATCTTCCTCCCCTCGCCTGTATCAGACGGTGGCATCTCCCTACCGGGGAAAAAACGGAGGGCGGGGGAGGCTGCATTAGAGGGAAAGCTTGCAGCGAGGTTGATTATGAAGGAGGGGGAAGATGAGAAAATGCAGGGGGCGAAGGTGGCGTCTCCTGAGCGCCAGCTCACTCTATAAGGCCTAGCCCACACACTCCCACCCCGAAGGCACGCCCCTCGCATCCTGGACCCGGACGCGGACCCGAGTGACAGCAGCACCACCTGTACCGCACTACCTCCCGCAGGGCCTGCAGGGAGACGACTGCCCCTGCCCCCACCAGCAGCGGCCCCTGGCTCTTTTTCTCCCCTTCTAGTCCACGTCGTCGACGAGTGACAGGTCCCGAGGGAGGCGATTGCAAGCGCACGCCATTCGGGACTACCGAGGCAACCCTGCGCCGAAGCCCTCCAGCAGGCGTGCGAAGGCAGACAGAACGTTCCGGATGGCCCAGGACTCGGTCCAGGCCCAGCCTGCCCCAGCTGCCCCACAACGCGCGGAGATGGCACTTACTACGGAGATTGTGGATTAGCTCCGAGTGGCTGGCGCCGCCGGATTTCCAGGCCATCGCTAAGCACACTCGGAGCAGGTACAGAACCACCTTCAGCGCGGCGACGGTGCCCAGCAGTTTCCCCAAGAGTGAGACCACCTCCCACACCGTCACCGCCCCGCTCGCGTCCCCGCTGTAGCCGCCGCTGTTACTGCCGTCGCCGCCGCTGCCGCCACTGCGCGCTCCCGGCATCCCCCGCGGCACGCATGCGCTCTGTGACGCCGCGCGGCCTAGGGTGTGGCCGGGTGGGGCCGAGGGCGGGGGAGGTGTGTGACCCAGCCGCCCGCGCCTGTGGCTGCTGCAGCTGCCCGGGGACTGCAGGGAGGCCGGGCTGAGTCAGCGCCACCGCCGCTTCTGCGTGTCCGTGTCTGAGGCCTCGGACTGCACTGCCTTTGCCCTGCGGCCAGGCTCCGTAGCCTGATCAGTCACATTCCTGGCTGCGTCTCCCGTCCGCGAGCTGGACGGCGGGATGGTGGGGTAGATCTGTGCCGACGCTGCCCGTGGTTCTGCAGTCGCCGCTGGGTCAGCTGTTTTCGCGCGGCAGATCTGCTCCTATAGGTGTCCAGATTGCTAGACGGTAGGCTTCATCCGTCCTACCTCGCCCAACCCAGTTGACTCATATTTGGTTCGGTGGAGCCGGAATAATACAGTAAGAAGAATAAAACCCAAGGACAAAGCCCCTCTCTAACTCGAGGACACCGGCCTCTGGCTTTGTGACAAGCACGTCACTGTTAGGCTAAGCAGAGACTTTGGAACCCTGGTTCTAAAGCTCTCAGAGAGTGGAAGAATACCAGAACATGGGGATTGAGGGTGGGGGCAAATCTTTGCTCCTCTAGAATAATACGAACATAAAGAGTTGCGATTGGTTAAAAATTACCAGTATGTCCTTTAGTGAACGTGTTACTCCCGACTTAAGTGTGCATTTCCACCTAATTAAACCTCACAAATTCCGCCATGGGTTTATTGCTATAAGCTCTGCAAGACAATGAGAAGCTCACCGAGAACATTGCTTGTCGCGTGCAAATCGCTGACTCCTAATTAGAACTGAGACTGACAGAATCCAGCCATCATTTAGTCCAGTAATCTTTTAGAAGGAAACAAAGCTAAGTCACCTGTGCCACTATGTCAGTACAATTTTCAAATTCTAGTTCTTACGTTATTTTGTAAACTGTGACACTGCCCCTGCTTCCAATCCAAAATCAACATTATCTATTTTCTGGGATTCTGTGACCATTAATGAAACTACAGGCAAAACAATATTCAATGTTACTTCAATATTAAACATGAATAAAATTGCTGATTTGGGGCTGTAACCCACTTACAATTTTCCATTTCATCTTCTATTTGGAGACTTCTTGATGAACTCCATTTGGAGAAAAGAAAAAAGTCAAATCCTTGATAGGAACCTGGTAACTCTAAAGCGGACCCAGATGGATTGGATTTACACGCAGTGCTTCCGTAAATTATCCCTGTGAAGTAGGACTACCAATATCAGATAAAACAACAAACAAGCACATGGCTCTTCTTAAAGAAACAACCAACACACAGTTATGAATTATCTTTAGTGTAAAGGAGATTCATCTTTTTAGATGAATAAGTTATGTCTCTTGTATTCAATAGGATTTACATTCTGATGGGGGAAGAATATGCATTTCAAGAAAACTAATCGCAGGGCACAGTGGCTCACACCTGTAATCCCAGCACTTTGGGAGGCCAAGGCGAGGGGATCACGAGGTCAGGAGTGTGAGACCAGCCTGGCCAATATGGTGCAATCCCATCTCTACTAAAAATAGAAAAATTAGCCGGGCGTGGTGGTGCGCGCCTGTAATGCCAGCTACCTCAGGCTAAGGTAGGAGAATCACTTGAGCCCGGGAGGCCGTGGTTGCAGTGAGCCGCGGTCACGCCACCTCACACTCCAGCATGGGGAACAGCGAGACTCCATGTCAAAGGAGAAAGAGAGAAAGAGAAAGAGAGAGAGAGAGAGAGAGAGAGAGAGAGAGAGAGAGAGAGAGAGAGAGAAAGGAGGTAGGAAGGAAGGAAGGAGGGAAGGAAAATATCCAAAACATATGCCATTAATACTGTAGATATCCAGTGCTAGCTCACGCCTGTAATCCAGCAATTTGGGAGGCCAAGGGGGCGGATCAACTAAGATCAGGAGTTCGAGACCAGCCTGGCCAATATGGCGAAATTCCGATTCTACAGAAAAATGCAATAATCAGCGGGGCATGGTGGTGTCGGCGTGTAGTCCCAGCTACCCTCGATGCTGAGGTGGGAGAATTACTTGAACCTGGGAGGCGGAGGTTGCAGTGAGCTGAGAATGCGCCATTGCCCTCCAGCCTGAGCCACAGAGTGAGACTCTGTTTTAAAAAAGAAAAAAAGCGATGTTGATTTAGATCAATATTGGCTGGGGTCATCAAGGGAAATGGTCTAGGAAATAGCAGATCCTTGAAGGATAGGCAGGATTCTGAGGAATAAAGAGGAAAGAAAAATACTACAGGTGCAACCAAAAGCACAGAGAAACCCAGAAAACTGATTCCTGGGCCGTTTTCAATAGATATCACCAACCTCATTCTTAATCATGCACGTAATGGACTTGACCAAAGCTAGGCAATTGGCATCAAAACTAAAACTGGAGGCCAGGCGTGGTGGCTCGTGCCTGTAATCCAAGCACTTTGGAGGCCAATGCGGGCAGATCACCTGAGGTCGGGAGTTCAAGACCAGCCTGACCAACATGGTGAAACCTCGTCTTAAAAAAAAAAACAAAAACCGAAAACTTGAGTCTTCAGAACTCCAACTTCAGGCTTTGACAGTGTGTATTAACTTTGAAGCAAAGTATTTGTTTGAGAGAAAATAGGGAGAGGTTTAGGATAGTAGGTTGGCACTTTATTCCAGGTACTTACATGAGTAAGGACTTTTGAATCGTTTTCTTTGCGCAGTGATCTGCAACTGCTTAGGTGTGGTTTCAAGGTGGTTTCCACTGCATTGATTTTTTTCTACTGAATTAATTTTTTTCTATTTTTGTTCTTAAATTTTACACTGAACAATTACCGAACACAAGAAAATACTGATATTGCAGATTAGGAGCAAGTCCTGCTGCTCAAAGGCCAAAGCGCTCTTGCCTTTGTTCAGAGTTGCTTTGTGACATGGGCCTCTCAGGCTAAGTTCTCCCAATTTGCAATACTGACTATTCCCACACTGGCTACCGACGAGAATTGACTCTCTGCAGCCACCGTTTCCCTCCTGTAGTCCCATCCAATCAGAGCTCCGCGGGAAGAGGCGGGGCTGAGAGGCGCGCATTGTGCTTGCTTCTCGCAGTACCTGCTGCGTTTGCTTTCGGCATGGAGGAAATTTATGCGAAGTTTGTGTCTCAGAAAATCAGCAAAACCCGCTGGCGACCGCTCCCTCCAGGAAGTTTGCAGACCGCAGAAACGTTCGCTACGGGATCTTGGGACAATGAGGTATCCCTGCTGATAAGGAGCCCCTACCTCCTCCTCCCTTTCTCTGGTTGGGCTGCACCCTTGTCCGCCCGCGCGCCAACTCCCACCTTCTGGTTCTTCTCGCACTTCTAGGTCCCCGGGACCCCTGTCTCAGACGCGGTTACCCCATAGCTCAGAGCTGGTGCCGGTGTGCCTGAGCCTCGTATCTCGTTGCGTTTTAAACTCACCATACCATTTGTTTGAAATGTTTTGGAGCAAGGTTTTCTGACTGCAGGGCAACTTTTATTTTCCTAGAGTTGACGTTTATGTCATCTCAAGACAAAACTTTTTGTTTTACAGGAAAATTATGTTTCACTGTGGTCTATTGGAGATTTTGGAAACTTGGACTCTGATGGAGGGTTTGAAGGAGACCATCAGTTATTGTGTGATATCAGACACCATGGTGATATAATGGATTTACAGGTAAATCTTTGTAGTATGCAAAAACTAAATTTGAAAGTACTGAGTAATACATTTAAACAAGCAGAGGATCGTAAAGGTTGGCTGGTTTACAGAAAACTGAGTGCCCTATAAGTTATAATTTGCCCGACATCATTTAGCCATTTAGTGGCAGAAAAAGGACTGGGAAAGGGGATACAGATTTAATCATACTTTTTATTAGTTGCCCCTCGGCTATGTGCTAAGTACCGTTCTGGGAGCTTTACAAAAGTTAATTTATTGTTGCATGCCGGTCAATCAAGTATCGTTATCTTTGTTTTACTAATGAGGAAATAGAGGCTACTATATCTTGAGCATGTTCTATGTGACAGATACTGTGTGGGGGTTTTTACATCATTTTGTTTTTTGAATTCTCATAACAACTCCCTAAGTAGAGTTTAGTACTCCCGTTTTAAAGATTCTTTTTTTTTTTTTTTTTTTTTTTTTTTTTGAGACGGAGTTTCGCTCTTGTTACCCAGGCTGGAGTGCAACGGCACGATCTCGGCTCACCGCAACCTCCGCCTCCTGGGTTCAGGCAATTCTCCTGCCTCAGCCTCCTGAGCAGCTGGGATTACAGGCACGTGCCACCATGCCCAGCTAATTTTTTGTATTTTTAGTGGAGACGGGGTTTCACCATGTTGACCAGGATGGTCTCGATCTCTTGACCTCATGATTCACCCGCCTCGGCCTCCCAAAGTGCTGGGATTACAAGCTTGAGCCACCGCGCCCGGCCCGTTTTAAAGATTTACCACGATTTAGAGAACTTAACTTGGCCAAAGTCTCAAAACCGGTAGTGAGTGGTGGGGATGAAATTAAGTTTTCAAATCCTGATGTGGAGAGTCCCTGCATTTTATTCTCTAGAGAGCTACCTAGCCCTAGGAAAGATTTTTTTTTTTTTTAAATTTTTATTCTTTTTTTGAAACTGAGTCTCGCCCTGTCAACCAGGCTGGAATGCAGTGGCTTGATCTTGGCTCACTGCAACCTCTGCTTCCCCACAAGCCCAACTCATTTTGTATTATTGTAGAGACAGGGTCTCACCATGTTGCCCAAGCTGGTCTTGAACTCCTGAGCTCAAGCAATCCGTCCACCTAGGCCTCCCAAAGTGCTGGGATTACAGGCGTGAGCCTGTAATTTCTCTAAGGTTTTATTTTGTTGGTCCCAAATTAAATCAATTGTAAGTGAATGTGTTTAGGAAAAAATATTGTTTATTCATGAAAATACTCTTATTTTTGATGACTACTAAAAAAAATAAATACTCTTATTTGTATGGCAGTTTGGACTTTCAGCTCCATTAACACATTTTATTTATTTGCTTAGCACTCATAGACTTCACTTTTCAAAATTGTTACAAGTTTTACTATTAATCAAGTTAAATAAACAAATGGACTTCCTCCCTACTAATATTTTTGAATCTTCAACAAGCAGAAATTTTCTCTTTAGTTTTTTGACCAGGAAAGAATTGTCACTGCTTCATCAACAGGATGTGTAACAGTTTTCCTTCACCATCCAAATAACCAGGTAAGGAACTTTAGTTTGAAAAATGAATTTTTTTTTTGATAGAATATTGTCTGCTAGGAAAAAGAAAAAATAATAATAATAAAATAGAAAAGTGAATT